TGGATGATGGATGGATGGATGATGAATGGATGATGGATGGATGGATGATGGATGGATGGATGATGGATGGATGGATGGATGGATGATGGATGGATGATGAATGGATGATGGATGATGGATGATGGATGATGAATGGATGATGGATGATGGATGGATGATGGATGGATGATGAATGGATGATGGATGATGGATGATGGATGGATGGATGGATGGATGGATGATGGATGGATGATGAATGGATGATGGATGATGGATGATGGATGGATGGATGGATGTACTTCAGATGGATCCAGGTGTTGGTAGCCATGTGCAGCTCATGGATGTTGTTGTGACTCAGGTCCAGGACTCTCAGGTGTCTGCAGCCCCTCAGTGGCTCCTCTGTCACCTCTTCCATCAGATTCTCACTCATGTTGATCTTCTGCAACATCAGAAACGGAGGAAGAGTTTGTTTAGATGCATCATCTGCAACATGAAGCACCTCTAGTGCCGAGTGCGTGAAATGTTTGGAGTTTATTTGGCCCAAAAATTAAAGGCTGAACACAAGGTTTGACTCTCAGTGACACAAATCACGCACCCGTACACATCTGGTTAAAGTTACACATTTGTGTTGTTTCATCTTTGTTACTCCACACGAGCAACAAGAATTTGGACCCTCTTTCAGAATCACTTATCAGTACATCTGGAACATCAACCCTTTCAAACTGTACCAATTGATATAGTTCAAAATAACTTTTTTAATATTTGCTTTCATATTTTGCAATGAGTACATTTCACTGCTTTAGCAATCAGTCATTGTTTTTACTGGAGATCCTCTCAGGACCCCTCACTAGATGTTTCCTGTCCCACTCTGGGTCCCCAGCCTCACTTTGGAAACCACTGCTTCAAACACTCACTGCGATAAAGTTTCACCATTGTTCCTTGCTTTGAAGAAGACAGTCTTCCAGCACCCGGACTCTCCAACCCACCTGCAGAGAGGATGGTAGGCCCAGCGGGAGTGAACGGAAGTGGTTGTTGTCCAGCTGCAGGTCCAGAAGCTTCTGAAGAGGTCTGAAAGCTAAAAGTGACACACTGGCTTCCCGAAGGGAGTTCTTCTTCAGCTCCAGCCTCAGCAGATTTCTCAAACCTAAAAGGGAGCGATGAATGTCATCATTTCGATATAATTTTAACATTCTCTGCACAAGTTGTACCTTTAAAGAAGTGGTGGGTGAGAGCCCTCAGCTTGTTGTTGTTCATCCTGAGCTCCTCCAGAGATGGAGGCAATGCAGGAACCCTGCTCATCTGGTTGTCGTCTAGATTGAGTTTCTTCAGAAAGGTCAAGTTCTGCGTGAAGTACAGGAATAAAAGTGATGGAGCTTGATGACTCAGGCAAAATGGCTACTTGTGTCACTGAGTCCATAATTTTCTATTCTAACTTGAGATTGCGGAGATTCGCCAAATGAAGAAATTTCCATGCTGCACATTTGTCCTGTTTTATTTTTGGTAAGAACCCGCTCAGGGAGGCTCCACAGTGAGAGGTGGTTTGTGTTCGAGGAAAGGAGCCGTGCCAGTTCATCAGCCCTCTGTCATTATGGTAAGGTGAGGAGAAAACGGAGAGAAATATTCTGCCGAAAATAATTTCCTTTTGTCCTATAAAACGTTTTCTTCTGAACGGTTTGTCCAACCAATAGAGTGGCAGTAAATCAGCGGAGGGGTGTGTTGATTGGCCATGGAGTGGTTGCCTTGCTGTGGTGGAAATCTGCTCACTCAGAGGTTTTACTTGGACAGCATCTGGTCATCCAACTTTATTATTTGTGCAGAGGAACGTCTGGGTTTGTTTTAATAGATGCTCTCATTCATAAAACCAGTTCAGATGTTCACATTTGTATTGAAGTTTTCTGTTTAGAATTAGCAGCCGGGATTCTATACCAGTGGCTAAATTTACCCTTTAGTTTAAGGTCAGATCAGCAAAAAGTTTATTATAGCTTTTTCGTGCATTCTCAAAGTCTTAGATCATTTTATATTTCAGTTCATTTCTTAATTTAACAGCTCGTGAGACTGAACTTAACTGTGGTGACATCACATTGCTGGCTGTGTCTTTAATGTGTTTATTAATGTTTGGTTCTTTTGTTATCTGTGTTTCTGTGTCTAATTCTAAAATAATAGTAATAATAATTGTGATGCTCAGTACCTTTCAGAGAACACAAGACACTCGTGAGTTTATAACCTTGACAGAGAAAAAATTAAAGTCGCAGTAAAACTTACGAACAGGGAGTTGTGGCTGAACGACTCGTCACCCAGTTTGTTCTGACTCAGGTCCAGCGTGTCCAGGTTGGGCAGGTCAACAAAGGTTTGTGGAGGGACGATCAGGATGTTGTTTTCTTTAAAGATAAATTATAAAATGTACACATTAAAAGTCTGTATGTGTGTCCTGGTTTTTGTTAAATAAGTATTACAATAATAATAGTAATATTTTTCAGCTGATTTTTTAGCTGTTTCAGCTCCTTTCAGATTCTTTCTGCTAACTTCAACATCTTTGTGCTTCTTCTAACTTGCTTCTGCTAATTTCACCTTGTTTTGCGCCTTTCAGCTTATTTCGGCAAGTTTCTGCTTTTTCAGCATTTATTCAGCTTTTTTTATGTAAATTTTAGATTTTCAGATAATTCCACATCTTTTTTTTAGCTCATTTCGACTTTTTTCAGCCTAACTGAGAAAAAATGTGCTCTCTCCACTTCCTTATGATAATTTAAGTTTTTCCCTGCCTTTTTAGCTACCTTTCCGCTGATTTATGCTAATTTCTACATTTTTCAAATATTTTCCAATTTTTTTCTGCTAACTTTTGATATTTTTTCAGCCTAAATGAGTAAATGTGTTTGTTCTGCTTTCTTCTGCTAATGTAAGCCTGTTCTACCTTTTCAGTCACATTGCAGCCTGCTTTTCAGCTAATCTTTAGCTCTTTTAAGATAAATTCAGGGTTTGTTGGGGGTAATTTCTGCTATGTTTAGCCTAATCAACTTCTTTCTGTTAACTTTAGCTTTTCATGCTCCTTATCAGCTTATTTATTCTAGTTTCAACTTTTTCAGTTACTATTTAGCTGTTTTATGCCAATTTTAGCTTTTTCAGCTAATTCCACATGTTTTAGCTCATTTCAGCTCCTTCCACTTCCTTCTGGTAGTTTAAGCTTCTTTCTGCCTTTTCAGCTACTTTTCAGCTTTTTTTTTTTTTTAATTTCAGCTTCTTCTTCTTCTTTTTTTGACTAATTTCCTATTTTGTGATCATTTCTGCTTATTTAAACCTAATTCAGCAATTATGTGCTCTTTCTGCGTACTTCTGCTAACTTAGGCTTGTTTTTCCATTTCAGCTACATTTCAGCATGTTTTCAGTTCATTTCAGCTGTTTTTCAGCAATAAGCATTCACATTGCTTTTGTCATCATTCTTTGTTGAAATCAGGTCTCTCTTGTAAATGAGTCCTTGAGGCTCAAAGGGATTAACCTGAATTAATAAGGGTTGAATGAATAATAATAATAATTCATTGTTTTGGACCTTCCCATTAGACACACTGCTTGTTTTTAGAATCACACCTGACACGTCCAGTTTGGTTGCCTCCTGGTTCTGGAAGACGGGCAGGTGGGTCAGGCCCACCCCCCTGCAGCTGATTTCTATGCTGCCACTCTGACATCCAAAAAGAGTAAAGTTGGACTGAGTTTCTGTTTGGTTGATGGGAGACTCAGTTGCTTCCTCTTCCTCCTCCTCCTCCTCCTCCTGCTCCTCTTCTTCCTCCTCCTCTTCTTCCTCCTCCTCTTCTTCTTCCTTCTCCTCTTCTTCCTCCTCTTCTTCCTCTTCCTAACATACAAAAAAATAAAACTGGCTCATGACATTTTCTGAGTGATTTTGGGAACGAAACAGTTTAATTTTTAAAATGAAACCTCTTCATCTTCATCACTATCATCCTCCTCGTCATCATCTTCTTCCTCCTCCTCCTCCTCCTCCTCAGGGTGTGTTTTCCCATAATCCATCAGCCTTTTCTTGTCCTCATGAAGTTCCTTGAGTGCAGCCATCAGAGTGCTGCTCTTCATCTCTCCCTTCTCAGACTGTCTCCAGCCCACCAGGGGTCGCCCCAACCCTGCCTAATCAGTATAATAATAATAAGAATAATAAATAAATAAATAATGATCACAATAATCACAGTAATCATAATATTCTTACTATTCTATAGGCGATGGACTCGACTGTGGCTGCATGTTTCCTCCTGCCCCAGGCACTTCTCCTCCTCCTCCTATCAGCCTCCATGTTTAGGGAACCAACTTTCTTCTGCTCCATTTTTTTCTGTGGCCGTGCATCTCCACTCTCTTCTTAATGAAACAACAACAAACAAACAAACAAACAAAGTTTTAGACCTTTGGGTTTTCTCTTGGACGAACTCAAAAATTGTCAAAGTCTAACAAGTGCCAGCTACGACTGAGAAGAAACAAACATGAGAGTCTTACCAGCAGCATGTGCATCTAGCAGCTTCCCTCCTGAATCCACCTCTGGAGGAGGACTGGAGGGGTCTTCTAACTCAGCTGTCCCTGAGGAGATCTTCGAGACTCCTTTCATGTCGTACGATAAATCCAGGCTTTTTCCTAATGAAGCTGAGCCAATCAGACAAACAATAACAATCCACACCCTGGGCATATTCATTACTGTGTTTGCTCACGTCAAGTTATTTCACTTGGAGACAAATGTCCAAAACTCTTCCTCAGAACCAGAATCCACAGAGGGCAGCTGGTTTTAATCCAGAAGGAGGAATCTTTGCATGGAGTAGCAGATGTAAATCCAAAAAGTCTTTGGGATATTGAGCACTGGGAGCAAAAACAGCACTTGCTCTGTTAGAACGTGTAAAGCAACAACCTCTACTCAGGGAGAAACATGAAATGAGGATGGAAAGAATAGGAGGAGGACAGGTTGGCCAAATAAACTCCCACGGTGCTAATAAAAGCCTTCGAGCATACGGTGAAATCCGCAGACACACCCCTGCTCCTCCTCGTCTCCTCAGTCTCCTTCATAACCGTCTGCCAGCTGAGAGTGGAAAAATACTTGTTTTTTAAAAAATGACACAATAAACCGATGGGGAACAGACGCTGGAGATCAATAAGTTTGATACGCCAGTAAAAAATAAATAAAGTTTGCAACGTTGTGACTGAAACATTTTTTAAATCCTCTCTCACGTGTGTCTTTTGAGTCAAAGTGAGAGTGGGGGACTGATCGTGGAGCTCGTCCAGCCGGGGACGGGGTTGACAGGCAGTTCAAGCCCTTCTTGTTTGGCTCAGCTCCAGTAGCATCTACATATGAAGACAAACATGACCTGCCATGTTTTCGCTCTGTACATCCATGCTGATCATGAACTGTGGCGTGCGTTCATCCTCACACTCACCCTGCAGCTCCTGGCTGAAAGTGGAGCCAAGATGGGAGTTTCACTGTGGGGTGAAACATGCTGACACCAACTTTTTATATATACACTATTACATGAAATGTGTCTAAAAGTGCTTCAAAATGACTTTCTAAGCTTTTGAATCATTTATGGCCATGAGAAGGGCTTTGTTCACCTGTGTGCTGAGTGCAGACATGTTCCAAATGGCCCACTGACAACTTCACACTAAACACAGACCCACTCAGGCCCTGACGCACCCCTCCGAGGTCAACAGTGAGGTGATTTATTTCCATCCTGACAGGAACGTGCAGTAATCCACATTCGACAGCTTCCATAACCACCCACAGAGTCAATGGCCACAAAAAAAAAAGTTTGTCTGATTCTCTTTCTCCTGCTTAGTGTGCATTTTAATTTACCTTAGTTATTTGAGATTACTAGAACATCAATATAAAACTTATTTTTTTGTGCAAAAATATGGCAAAGTTATGATTTTGTATATATCATATATAAATATACAGGACAACCAGCAGAAAACCATTGTCGACAGTAAAATGCAAGGTTTTAGGTTATTTGCTAATGGTTACATTTTAGGAGAGGACAAGCTTAAGTCAGTTCAGTTGTGAGTGATTGTGATTTTTTTCAATAATTCTAAGTAAATATAATATCAGAAGGTGATTTTCTAACTCCTATGTTGCTGTAATATTCTGTAGATTCGCATTAAAAATATACATATATTTTTTGCATTTCACAGAAAATGAAAATGTTTTAAAATTATTTTATTTGGATTGAAAATTGTAACAAGAAAACATTGTCCACAATGCCAAAATCTCACTTTGTTCAGTTTGATATTAAGTTTGTATAAGTATAAAGGCAGTGTTTGTCACAGAAATTGCCAACTGTTTGTTATATCATAATGTGTAAATAATAATAATAATAATAGCTGTGTCAGATTTTTCTAGTGCGTTATCAAGTTGAAAGTGTTAAACTCAAAACACTGCGTCTGTCCTGATCCTCTCACTGAGGTCACTAGATTGGATCAGGAATACCTTCTTACCAAATTAACCTGTTTTAATGTGAACTTTTATTTTTATTTGGCATGGGGAAAAAAAAAAACGTGTGATTAAAAAAAAACGAGTTGTGACCCAAATAGTAAATCATGCGCCGTGGTTGTAGTATAAGAATGAATGGTGGAAGAAGCGTGACTCTTGTTCCTCACTTTACTCCACTTACCGACTTGTTTTGAGCTCGTTACAGCACCAGCAGGTCAGTTACTGACCAGCAACAACTTAATTAATGTTTTCATCCTCTAATAATCAGAACTCAGTCACTGAAGGAGAATCTGTTTATTAAAAGGAATTCTCGAACAAATGAATTTTCCTCCACATGAGCCCAAATTTGTCTTTGAGGTTTTATTACAATAATATCTAGTATGAAAAAGAAAATAAATTACAAAAACAATAATTAACAAGTTAAACAATAATTAATCAGTCGTGGATTCATTTTCTTTTATCAAAGGTAAAATTGATTTTTTGAGTAGGATTTGTTTTGGTGTTTATACGCACACAAATTTAGACAAAGTCTAATTATTTGATAAATAATTTACTTTGGAAGTTGGATGAGATAAGTTATTTAATGTGACCAGATCAAGTCATTTGTTAAATGATTTATCAAGTTGCATCAGCTGAAGACCTAAAGTTGTGTTCATGTCAGAAGGTCTCAGCTCCTTACAGGTCAGCCTTGAGGCCTCGAATTATCTCACATTTCCACAGTTTTGTTGGTTGATGAGACCAGGACACACCACGAGGACAGGACTAGCCAGGCACTGCCCAAAGTAGCCGAACGTTACTGTGACTGTGAAGCCGGACATCAGACGGACACATCTGGACGGGGAAAACAAACCAACTGAAAAGTGTCACACTAAGAAACTTGCTTTGAACTCTCAGCTCTCAGAAATGTTTTGGGACATTCTGAAATATCTGAGTCCAACAGTGAATGTGTGAAAGCATGCGACATAATTCAACTCAAAAGTAACTTTAAAGAAAACACTTCAGGGTGAATCTGGAAGACAAGCTAAAGGTCAGAGGTCATGGTGAGGGGAGCGCATCTCGAGGTTACAGCTGTATGTCGTCTCAGTGAAGGTTACTCCGACGAGCAGAGCGCAACTTTATTTTTTATTTAATTAATGTCAGCAACCAGATTGGAAGGTGACAAAGTCTTGTCTATTTGTCCGTTAGGTCATTTATAGTTTGTGTACTAAAATGACCATTGTGTTTTGGATTTTTGTGAGCAAGATTTAAAAATTACAATATTTATTAAATAAATAGATGATGTGTACAATCACATTTTTCAGTAAAATGTTTATTCCCCTCATTTTAACTAAGCTGTTTATCTAAATCCATCTTTGCAAGCTAGTTTGTGTCATAACTTCTTTTGACATTGAAAATGTTTATATAAGGTTGTTCAAAAATAAAAGAAATATTGCCTTGAGTTTAATTTGCTTTACGAGTCATTTGTTCACACAAATGCTTAAGGGACTTCATTTCTGTGAATCAATGAGATTTTTGTCTCACAAAAACATTTTTACTGAGGCTTTTTGAATCTTTAAATGTGCTTGATGATTAATAAACGAAATATTTGACCATAAATTTCTTTAAAAATTAACTTTAAGTAGAAAACAAGTATCAAACAAGAGTTTTCTGTTGAGGACTTCTCAAACAGAAATGGATAAAACGAAACCGGACCTGAAACATGAGACAAAACGAGAGATCAAGAAAATTAATTTTCAAAAGCCGTTTTGAAATACACATCATGTCCACCATCATACTCACCGAGCACTGACGGGGGATTGTTCCTGGAGGCTGAGGTTAGGAGGGCTGAAACCATTAACATTTGTGTCAAACTAATAAAAATGCAACCTAGATTATCTAATGGTGGGAAAGATGTAAAATGACAAAACTGAGGCCTGTGCATTCCCTGAACACAAGGTTTCTCTGCAGGTTTGGTTTGTAACAAGCTATAAAAATGTTGTGAACCCAGCCAGTGTTTGGTGTCTTATGCGTTTTAAAGTTTATAATCATGAATCTGGTAATAAAAAAACTGAAATGATCATTACAGTTTTCAATAGTTTTATTAGAACGTTTGACAGATTTGATAACCGCAATGTGAAACGACAAGCAACAGTAGTAGCTAATGTTTGTATTCAGCACATCACAGCAACGACAGGAGGACTCTGGTTATTTTAAACAGCAGTAAAACTCATATCGGCATGTTTTAAGTTCACTCTGGTGAAAATGGAACACCTCTGTCAAAGCTTCAACATTTAAGGCTGCCACGACAAAGCAATGGATGCAATCTAATACAATGAATGAACAGACAGGGGAGAGGAATCGTTAATCTGAGGAATGATGCTTTGAGTGTGAGAAGTTCTGATCTACTGACAAAACCTGTTACAGTATTCAAAGTGTTTGTTTAGTGCATCTAGCTGGGCAGGAAGGACTGGGAAATGTGGACCAGAATGTGCGTCGGGCGCTGACCACACTGCACTCCAACACAAACAGCAATGCAGGGCTGGTGAACTGCAGATTCAAAGCCACAAGGTGGCAGCAGAGAGCCTAACAGGTCTTAACATTAGGACCAGTCGATTGTGACGGAAGTGCAAAAATTTAAAAGCGCTTTAGTTTGCGAAGGTCTGGCGAACGGCAGTGACGATGTGCTTGGCACTGATGCCGAAGAGGTCCAGGAGCTCCTGGGGCTTCCCGCTGCGGGGAACACCAGAAACTGCCAGCCGGGTCACAACGATTCCAGGCTCGCTTCCCACTGCAGAGAGCACCGCTTCACCAAGACCACCTGGACACAACGTGACACACGAAACAAATCAATTTAAAAAAAAGGAAAAGAAAATGCATAAACACCCACATATTATATTGATTTCAAATCTAAATATCAGTCAGAATCAAAGTTTAAAATAAAAACAATGACTTTTTTAAGACTAAATTTTCATTGTGATTTAGAAAAATAAAAAGTTTTCAAACAGCTCCAGTGGGTAAAACCACATAATGACGTAAATGCAAATGAACCCAAGGGAGAAAAAAAACCTTACCCTCTTTGTAGTGGTCCTCCACTGTGATGATATGCCCCCCTGTGGCTCTGGCGTGGCTCAAAATGGTGGAGGCATCCAGAGGCTTGATGGTGAACGGATCAATTACACAGATGTTCTTTCCTGTAGGGGGAAAGGGTTTCAGATTTATAGATTAGTCCTTACCCACTAAATCATTTAATGATCCAGTTCTTTGTGAAGTAAAATACAGATGCACAATCCAACAAAGTTAAGTCAGGTCCTCTGGACAGTTTCCTTTTGTTGAAATGTTTCATCTTTCATCCAGAAGACTTCATCAGCCCAAGGAGCCACAACTAACTCAGTCGTATAAATAGCACTTTACATAGTTGGTCAACCAGTTTGGTGGTGCTCAGATGGTTTCTGGAGTCCGCCTTCTCATCAATCCACCAGTCATGGCCAAAGTGGTTCAAAAGATCAAGGTTCATGCTCGATAATCCAGGTGTTTGTTACTTTGTTAGATTGTTCTACCTGGATTATTGAGCATGAACCTTGCTACAGATGCACAGTATTTGACTAGTTCGTTTACCTTCGCTTTTGAGAATATCATAGGCCGTCAAGGCTTCATGTAGAGTAACACCAGCTCCAATCACAGTCGCCACATCACTGTCAGACTCACGCACCACCTGGAGCAACATACTCATTCATGAGGTAAAATGCAACAGGTTTATTTTAATTTTTATATAAATAAATAATTGGGGAAAAAAAATTAAATATACTGTTACCTTAGCAACGCCCAATTCAAACTTCTCGTCAGGAGAGTAGATCACTGCAGTATCTGGTCGACTGGTACGAATGAAACAGATTCCCTGAGAAGAAAACAATTTGCGTTATTTATACGACACATGAGGATAATCTCTGGAATATCGTGAGAAAAGCTTCGAACCTTCGTGTTAGCAGACAGTTCAACAGCCCTCTCTGTCGACACAGCATCACTAGGATAAAACACTGTACATGTTGGAATGGCTCGGAACATGGCCAAGTCCTCCAGGGCCATCTGGGATGGACCGTCCTCACCTGAAGACAGAAACTGATAAGAACAGACTGCACCCATCTATAACCAAATAACAAACGAGAGGTTTCAGCTTCATGTTTACCAATGGAGACGCCACAGTGAGATCCTACGAGGTTGACGTTCGTCTGAGAGATGGCTCCCATACGAATCTGATCATAGGCTCTGGAGAGGAATGCAGCGAATGTGCTGGCAAATGCAACCATGCGGTCACGGGCGGCACAGCCGATGGCCACGCCCACCTGCAATTATTAACAGTTCCACTGGTTAGTCCAAATTAGAACTAATAAGATTATAGAAACAAATGTTGATGACTCGGGTAGTAAAGCTGGAATTATCCGATATAAGACTGAAGAGCAACATCCATCCAGTTTTTTTTTTTTATCCACTTTTCCTTTCCAGGTTGTGAGGCAGCTGGTGCCCGTCTTCAGCAGGCACTGTGAAAGACGGGGTACACTGGACACATTGCAAGTCCATCACAGAGACACCTATAAAGATGAACGTGACAGCCGCTCACTCTCATTCCCACTTGGTACAAATTTAAGCTACTGGTATGTTCACAATGAAAGAAAAAGTGATCCAATTCCTTTTGTTTTGTTTTTTTCTTCTCCATATGAGACTCATAACAGATATTTTTATGACAGTCTGAACATGACAAATCTGATTTTTTTTCTAATCTACTCTGGGTCTTTTTCATGTATGGTACTCAGATATATATTCAAAGTTTTTCATAGCGACCCCAGTCTGGATGGTCTTGTCCCATTTCATGTCAATGAGGTAAAGGCATCTACCTCAATCAATCCAAATACTGATACCAACGTCTTGTAGTTTAAAGATTGTAACTCTGCACACCTTAAGCTGCAGAACAAAAATCCAGTTGTGTTTTTTTTTTTACCCCTCTTGTTCTGAATAACTAAGAATCTAGAGCAATATACTGTATATCAAAGTTGTTGTCAGATTGTATCAACACCAACGTGAAGGCATGTGGCTCCCATTCCAGAGATGCAATTCTGCAGAGGAACCGTGAAGAGACCAGAACCAACGTAAAAATTGGACCAAACAATCCTGTCAGATAATTTAGTTGGCTCTAAATGCACAACTTCAGAATTGATACACACGTGCTAACGTGTAGCATCCGTATTTACTTCCTTAACAGAGCTGCACGTGACGTCATGTCTTCTGCATACGTGGGTCTCTTCAGTGCAATAAGTGTTCAAACTAGAGTGTGAAGACAGTTGCATTTAAATTATAATGGAATTTTTTTTAATTAACAAAAAAAGACAAATTTGCAAGCACAAAATTGTAACTGAGCATTAAACCCTGCGGTGTGACTGTAGCGTTAAGAGTCACCAAATAACCCAACATGCATGTTTGTTCTGTGGGAGGAATTCGGATTACGTGGATAAATCCACACATGTATGGAAAGAACATAGTCCACGCAAAAAGGCCAGGAGACGAACCTATGACCTTTTTGTCGTGAGGCAACAACTCCCTTAAATGCAACAAATTAGAAATATTCTAACAAATTATAGTGATTATAAATATAAAGAAAAGATTAAATCAGCATCAAGCATTGGGGAAAACAAACAAACACCAAGACTCTACAACAATATTTACCATATTCTGCTCAGCGATGAAACATTCAATGTAGCGTTCAGGGAAGGCCTTCTTGAAGAGTTCAGAGAAAGTAGAGTTTTTAGTGTCTCCATCAAGAGCGACCACTCTCTTGCTTGCCTGGCCCAGCTTGGCCAGTGCTATCCCATATGCTCGCCTTGTTGCCATCTAAAGTCAAGAAACGGTTGAGGTAAAAACAATCAAAAGGTCAACAATTTACCAATGAATAAACATTCAACAAGAGTTGAGAGTAATCAGTGACCTAAAAAATGTGAAGACAAGACTTGAGCTGTTAACTTTAGGACGTTTCATTCACGGAGTGTGTCAGTGGGTTTGAACTTATTAAAGAACAGTCACCATTGCCCTTTAAAGCCCTTTGCTGCATCAGCAAAAGCAACTTAAGGTACCTTATCTCCTTTCTTGTAAGCTGGCGGTGAAGGCAGGGAGATGAGGCTCAGATCAGCTGGTGGCGTGTCATCACTGGGCAGCTCAGGGCACAGGGTCTTATTGGGGACTTGAATCTGTGACTGCAAGTCCTTCAGGATATCATCCAACTTGTCCTTAGGAATGGGCTTTCCGTGCCAGTTATCATGATCTTCAATGTCTAGAATTTAAAAAAAATGAACAAGTCCTGTGTAAATTAAAACATTATAAAATATATCTTGTATACATGACACATGTCAAGAATGATAGATCATCACAAATATACATTTGAAAAACATGCTTCTGTACACATACTTTTGAGCCCCCTTCCCTTAAATGTTTTGGCAACGATACAGGTGGGTTTATCCTTGACCTGCTGAGCCTGCCAGAAAGCTTTGCAAAGCTCCTCCACATCATGTCCGTCCACAACATACGTGTTCCACCTGCACAGATTTTACAGAATACCACTCATTACTATAAATATGAACCACAAAAGCAAAAATGCAAACAGTCCTGTTAACCAACTCAGAGCGACTTATGACAAAAATGGGAATTCATGCATGCAGAGTGGTGGAAGCTGCTCACAAGAAATTTCACAACCTTTACAAACAGATTTTAAAATTTGACTGCAGTACAATCCCATACAATAAAAATGTTTTTAAAGAGGGTTTCCATTTGTTACTGACCCAAAGGCTTCACAGCGCTTGCGGTAGGTCTCCATGTCATGCTGCAGGGGTGCAGCCTCACTCTGACCCAGTCGGTTGATATCCAGGATTGCCACCAGGTTGTCCAGCTTGTAGTAGGAGCCAAAAGCCATGGCCTCCCAGACAGACCCCTCTGAACACTCTCCATCACCCAGCATGCAGTATACACGGTAACTGCAGTGTCAAAACAAGAAAAGAAAAGAGTGACTGAGGAATCAATATCAGTATACAAAAAAATTATAATAGTTTAGGTTTACAACAGGGAATCAGACCTAATGCTCTTAAAAACACATTTTGTAACAAACATTAATAGCAGTAGATGTACTTGTTGGAATGAGTTTATGATAAACCCCTAAATTGTGGACCAACTTAATACTACTAAACTCGTAGCAGGACATAAAAGTTTACGTTACACATGGGACAAAAAAGGGAAAAATTTAAATAAATAACATTTGACTGGCCGTGAAATAAAAAAAATTTAAACAAGCCACAGAAAGAGCCAAAGTCTGTAAGACATTTGCATCACTTCAGCAGAACTGCTGACACATCCTGGTCTCTAAAAGATTAGAAAAGACTCAAAACACATGAGAACAATGCTTTCATAAGCAATGCTGTTGTGAAACAAAAAGGTAAACATTGTACCGCTAGTAATGATTTAACTAATGAGACTTGTCAAGCCCCTTTAAAATGATGCAACTTAAATTCAATCTAACCAAATATTTTAAACCAATGCGGACTGATGTTTAAGATCACAGCACATACCAACTTTTCATTTTAATTTCTTCGTGAACTTGCATCATTTTGGACCTATACTGACCTAGATTTGTCAAAGTATTTGCCAGTATAGGCCATCCCACAGGCAGCTCCAAGACCCTGTCCAAGAGATCCTGTAGCCACGTCAACAAACTCCAATTTCTGTGTTGAATTAGAAAAAAAAGGTAAAAATAAATAAATAAAAGCACAATTTAATAATACATCATAAACATGAAAAAAAAAGAAGAACAAAGTCAGGATTGCAGACTCACTGGTGTGGGATGCCCCTCGAGGTCACAGTCAATCTTGCGCAAGTTCAGAAGATCAGATTCTTTCACAAAACCTGCCTCTGCCCAGGCAGCATACAGGATTGGTGCTGCGTGACCCTGATAAGAAGAAACGGTGGTAACAGTGTCTTTTAGCAGGCTTAAAACAAATACAACTCAGCTTTCAAATTAAAAAAAGCACTAACCTTTGAGAGGACAAAGCGGTCATTACACTGATTACGAGGATCATCTGCCTTATAGCGCATGGTGTGGAAGAAGAGCACAGACATGAGCTCAGACGCACTGCAGCATGATGTGGGGTGGCTGAAGAGCAAGAATCAAAGAGCCCATTGATAAAAAGGTGACAGTACAACTACAGCTGCATTAGTAATCGGAAATAAAACATGCACGTTTGTGTGTTGTTAAATTCAAAACTTATGTTGGGATTTTTTTCAAAGTGAAATCACACTTTTTACTTTTTGAGTATGTGACAACTTGAAACAACCTTGCAAAAAACACTACTTTTGACAGATAAGGATGCTTTTGAAGATAACTAGGTTTTGGGATTAGAAACTTCCTATAGTCAATAGTTTGTAAATGTTTAACCAAACCACCCTGGGTTACCACACTTGAGCTCTAAGGACTAAAAAAGTAAGCAAGCTTGTGAAACTGTTAGTTGCTGCAAATGGTTGGGAGTATTGTAATCAGTACTTGTAGAAATCCAAATTTACTCAACAGATCTAAACTTCCCTTTGTGGTTAAGTTACTACAATTTCTACCATGCTGCAAAGAGTTACTATAACAGTTTATTGTTCAGTTTTATACAATACAAGACCCATTTTCTGGTTTACCACTTGTCCTCATGTCGAGAGGTAACTTGCTGAAAAATAAAGCAAGGTAAATTCAGAAAACTGGGAAAAGAAATCAGATTTTCAGACAAACAGGTGATGTTCCGCATTGGTCAAAGAATGAGGATCTATGTAAAGTGTTGGGCATGAACAGTAACAAAAAAAAAAAAGGATTATTTAACCGATTGTGAGAGCAGTCAAATGTCAAAACACCATCATTTCCTTGTTGAAAACAAAAAGAAGAGCAAAACTGGTTCATCGACTACATTTTGTTTAAGACTGGACAATGTGCACCAAACCACAGTGCAGAGTTTATGAGGTTGCACTGCAAATATAATCCATCAGGAAGTCTTTTATGTAGAATCATCTTGGCAGATGCTGTTTTGACCCAACAAACTGGTTCAAAACCAACAACTTGACTTGTCAAAGACAGACATGATGGTACATGTGATACCCTCCCTTATGACTAGCTGAGAAGCAGCCACAGGAGACATTTTGTCATTCATTGTGGAATCTTGATTTTAACCATCCATGTGTTGAGTGATAGACAATTAAATGCGATTACAATCCTCAAAAAACTAGGAGCAGAAAGGTGACCGATAAAGCTGCACCCTGATCACTGTTAATATTAACACAGGTTTTTCTGAATGAAGATCAACAGAAGCCAAACGACAAGATATCGTGAATATTTAGTGTCAAACTAGGATTATAATAAAATGGAACATAATTTGTTCCCTCGGGGGTTATATAGCGTTATTATTAAACTAACTACAAAACTTTACGACCATCACCAACATAACGTATTTAGCAAGTAAAAGCAGGCGACTATGCTCAACTACAAACTGCTTAGAGATATAACTGTGTATTTGTACTTATAAAATAGTCATTACACATATGTGTACATTAAACACCTAAAATCCGCACACATCCGTGAATGCTAAAATGCTAGCTAAGTAACTGTTAACTTGCTGCTCGCGCTACAGCCAAAGTCAATATGCAGCACGTGCAACCAGGCCCTGTGTGTAGCGCGAGCGTCTGCTGCAAGCTACAATGAATGATAATTATTTTAAGTAGGACTTCGAATACTTCCCATTTAGTCTGAATGACTTACCCGGAGTTAGAAGCGCATGTAGACTTGATGGAGTTGATCCTTAGCTTGTTAGCGATGTCTTTCAGACCCTGCAGAGTCTTCTCGTCGGGTTTATGGTAGCTAGTCATGGTTTGTAATGGGGGACAACTCGAGTCGGGTTGGCTTGGAGAGTTTAATGGAGGTTGCTGCTTGAACCGAACGGCTGCTAACCGGAGTCCTGGGCTCTAGCTAGCTGAGCTGACCAGTTAAATAGGCGGGAGTTAAGTAATGACTTAAGTAAGAGGACGGTGAGTGACGTCACGGGGAGGCGGGGCGGCACTCCTATCCAATCAAAGCATTGGGAGAAGTGGCGCATGTTGCGTAGATGCCGGTGTCGCTCCACACAAAATCTTTTCGGTTAGATATCAGCTTTACACATCTGAGTTTATCTCATCTTCCTTTTAAAGTTCACAACCTGACGCAAATTCATAAACACTATGGTATGTGTGGGCATAAAACCAGGTATTATCAATGGTGAAATCGGAAAGCACTAGTATTTTTATAAGATACAATTCACTTTTGCTTTAAATAACCAAGAGGTAGTGGTTGTATAAACAAATTGAATTGGCAGGTCTCTCTTGTAAATGAGTCCCCGAGGCTCAATGGGATTAACCTGTCTAAATAAAGGTTGAATGTGAACAACCTTTTCCAGAAATTCATTGTCAACTTATTGTCTCCAATGGCTTCTGTGTACAGTATATGTGGACTGTAAATGAACAGAAGTAATGCAACTGTACCTTTAAAGGCTGCAGTTGGGTGGCTGCCAACTAGGAAGTGTTGGCCCATTTTGCTTTCTCATCCTAACACAGGCAAATAAAAATGTGTAACAATACAAGGTTCAAGTTTTTGTCCCACATGCCCATGTCCATGCATATATCCCATATCCTCCTATACCAGAAAAAAATGCATTTTAATTGTTAAATGTGGGTGTGAGAATACAAATATTTGAAAGATGAATAATTAAACAAGTTGTTCTTTGTTTTATATTGTATTATTTCAAACAGAGGCATAATCACAGTTCCTCATTTATACACAAAAGTCTTACTCTTTAAGAAAGTCAGCTCAGTCCAACACTTCCCTTTTCTGCTCATATTTTGAAAACTTATGGCTCAAGTATTTCCTCTTCGTTAAGTTCCTGAAATGAGATGCATGAAATTATTATTATTTTGGGGGCATTTCACAATAAAATATATACAAATGATTTATTATTAAAAAAAAAAAAAACACACACACACAAATATAAAAAATAATATATATATATATATATATATATATATATATATATATATATATATATATATATATATATGTAATATAAATGTATTTTTACTCTGAACATTATCTGAGCTTCACTTCTCTCTTCAGAGGAGACAGGATCTTTGTCAAGTCGCTCCAACTGTGGCAATATTATTAGCACACTCAGGCGGTAGTCTGATATTTCAGCCAGCAAATTCTCAGAAAGGACCAAAGCTCGCAGGGTTTGTGACACATGGCCAACACTTTGTATGGCCTTTTCATCTGAGATTAAATTGCCTCTAAAGAAGGGACATAGAGACAAAAATACTCATTTTATTTGGTGTTTTATAATACAGACGTTCCACATATTTCCTATTTTTTAATCCAGATTTCCCCATACTACATAGGAACCCATGAACACCACAATGGCTATATGTTTTTTATGTCACAATGTGCGAGTGTACCTGACATTGAGGTAGTGAAGACACTTCATACTGGGGCTGAGACCATCCAGAGATTCAAGCTGGTTGTTTCGAAGATGAAGTACGGTGAGGCGCTCCAACTTCTCCAGACCCTCAAGACGTTTGATAACATTTTTGGCCTTTGAAAAAAGCAAAAATGATCATAAGCAGGCTGTATTTTCAACCACTAGTTTAAGTCTGACGGAACTGGATTCATCTTATTTTTTGTATATTACCAGATATAGTTTTCGCAAATTTGGAAGGTTAATGCCATCGGTGGTATCCAAGTGGTTTCCCCTTAGCTCCAGTGTCACCAGATTTGCAAAATGGCTACTCTGAAAACCGTTCAGTTGCTGAATACGGTTTCCTGAGAGAAAAGTTGCAAAATATCATATTGAATTCTTGATTCGTGACATTTGAGTAAAAACTGATAAGAATTACTACAAATGAAAATGCGAACTTATATCAAACAAAAATAACTCTCTGCTCTGTTTGTGTGGACTTGTCTTCAAATCAAAAACCTGTAAGATCGAGGCTCTCCAAGGCGGGCCCAGCTAGACCATCGAGGTCTGTTAGTCTGTTAGCTGCCATACTCAGCCACTGCAGGAAGGAAAGCTCAGGAAAGGGTTGTCCCTTAAAGGATGCCACAACATTATTGTCAACCTGCAAAGGAGATGCAAGTCAGACTTTACAACCAACTAAGCTGATGAATACTGACATACATGGAGAAGTCTCTTTCTTGCCTTTAGCCAAAGTAAATCTTTCAAAGTTGCCAGAGGAGACAAATCAGCGATGTAGTTGTTGGATAAGTCCAGAAAGCGTATGTGAATATAACTGCTGATTGCAGCTATGCTATCCAGTCCTCTGAGGGGTACAGGGTTAGGACAAACACAAGGGGAACAAACAAACAAGCTAAATGCCATAAACTGTAATCTGGGGGCAAACATGTCATTAAATTCACGTGCTTTGCATCTCACTTGTTATTGAGGTGCAGTTTGATAAATGCGTGCCCTAATCTATTTCCTGTCCGGCACAGCAGTGACAGCCCGTCACAGATAGTTTCTTTGGTCAGCTGGACAGCTTGTATCTGTGGAAAACAAAGAGGGAATTTTAATGAGGTATAGCCTTGTTTATTGTATGATTATAGAAATAAAATCACTGAAAAACTTGGGGGGGTGGGGGTGTTTGTTCTGTAAGGCACATGTAAAACTGCATGTTATTATCTAAAGAGCTTTTGAAGACTACCTTATCTGCAACCTGTAACAGAGAGAGAGCGATCTTTATACATCTCTCTCCATATATATATATATGTATATATATATATATATATATATATATCTAAACAACACTACCAGCCTGATCAAGAAAGCACATCAGAGACTCTACTTCCTTAGGCAGCTGAGGAGAGCTGGACTGGGAAGCTCAGTCCTCACCTCCTTCTGCAGGTGTGCAGTGGAGAGCATCCTGTGCTCCAGCATCAACATGTGGCATGGAGGCTGCACAGCTGCAGAAAGAAAAGCTTTGCAGAGAGTGGTGAAGGCTGCACAGAAGACTGTTAGAGTCATTCTCCCCACCATCACAGACGTCTACACTTCCAGATGCAGGAAGAGGGCCACCTGCATCATGAAGTACCCCACTCACCCAGCACAAACACTTTTTGCCCCACTCCCCTCAGGCAGAATTAGCTTCAGGAGCATTAAGTGTAGAACCACCAGACTGAGAAACAGCTTCTACCCTGAAGCTGTTAGACTCATGAATCCCTAATCAGGATTATCACTGTGAAATTTACTGTGAAAAAAAAATCATTGTAATGCCACTTAGTTGTTGATACGTGACTATGATGATGATCTCATGCTGCTGATTTAGTTCATGTTGCTGTGTTCATTCATCCTCATCTGATACAGACTCATGTTTGTGCTACTGTTGTTTGGCACATTGTTTTGTACTATTAGTACTTAGTGTATTCTTAGTTTAGCGTATGTCTTAGTTCATGTCTTGGATCTTATTGCCGTTTGTCTTTACAATTTGTATTTTGGTTGGATAACTGGGACCCTGTGTACATAGTTTTGTTCCACTTCATGCACGTGGTGTGAATGACAATAATCAATCATTGGAAAAAAAATAAATAAATATATATATATATTTATGTGTATAATACTGGCCGAAGGCATTTAATATAAATTTCAGTGTCTGAACCTGGTCTTCATATTTAGTCTAGAGAAGCAAGGTATAAATAATTGTTGAACTTCTAAACCTGGATCTGATTATTGTTGAGTTCCTACTGGTAATATCTTAGCAAAGTCTTAATTAGCTTTAAAATAGTCAATTTAGTCAATACAACATTATAAAAATATAAACATATATTATAAATATAAAAATAGTATTTTTTTTTATATGCAATACTCAGTTTTTAATAAACACTTGACTTTAGCTGCAAACTTTATAGAACATCTTGGAATATCTTCTTTCTCCATTTATAGACAACGATCAGTCAACAATCACACATAATTACCCATTAGTCATTGGTAAATTATGGGCATGACTGCTAATTTCATGCTAGAAACACACTTTGCTAGTTTACTGAAAAAAAAAACCTTATGCCAACAGTCACCATTTTTTACTAGCCATATCATGAGTACTTTACCTTCTCGCTTTCTTCGACTCCCTTTGAACTATCTGCTCCTTCCACATCCGACAGGTCATCCTCATCAAACATCCTGGTTACCAACTAGCCTTTTACTAAAGCGAACTGTGTACCACTACCAAACCAGCTAGACGTGCGTTCTAACTAGTATATCTCAATAGCTCCAAACTTACAAAAAAACAAACGACCAAGTATTGAATAAGCTTAGTTAACGAAGTGTGTAGTTTTATCGATTGTTTAAACCGTTTCACGTTGTCCAGGAACAAACCGAGAGCTGTTTACCGTTACCATGGAAACCACAGCCTTTGTGCGAGCAGCAGCAATAAAGGATGCCAAGAAGAAACTTATCTACTTTTCTACAACTAAATCTCTTGGATGAGACATTGTATTTGAAATCTAATGCCAGTATTATCATATTAATATAGTTTTCATGTAAAAAATAAAACTACAGTTTGAAAAAGTTGCCGTTTACAGGCAATTTCATTCAAGACATCAAAGTAGATGAAAGTGTTTAATTCACTTACATTAGCTTGATGAAACAGTCACATTATTATACAAATACATAAATGAAAAATAATTTCCAAACATGGGTATCTATTACAATGTTAATTCCAGTTTGATAATGAAACACTTCTCATCTCACAATGGTAGTGAATGTGACCTTATCTATTTCCAAAGGTTACAATCGCTTTTGCCTCAACTGTAGAAAAGTGCTCATTCTAAAATATATACAGTTTATGCCCAGAACAACCATTCACTGAATGGAAAGGAACACAGCTTTAACTTAAAATTATACGGTGCATAGACATTAATATTGGAAATTCTCATTTGCTGCCATTATCAATCTTTTATTTAAAAAAAAAGAAAGTGTTTTTCCAAACCACATAAAATCTGAATAATACACAAGAGTTTGTTCGATGAAAACTGCATCAATCAGAAAGCAAGCAAAATTGTGCAATTTGTGCAATATTCCAATATCTACTGCTACAGGAGGATATGTCCATGGGATTACCACCACCGAGCATTACCACTGTTGAGGTAATTATAATTTCTACCCAAAATTAGGTTTTATTAAAGATGTCAACAGTGAAGAATTGTATGTGGGTTACGGTGTTTTCTGGGTCAGGAAGTTTAAAGAATGTGGTCACTCCACTTGCTTGTTGCGCAACAAAAGTCCTTTTTTCATGCCTCCTTGCAGCATCCTTGCACCAAGACTAGTGCCTGTGATTCCATCACTACAGAAAAGAGGAGAGAAGAAATAGATGAAGACACAAGCAAGCAAATAACAAAAAGTAACAACCCTATAAAAAAAAAAGATAAACATAAAAAATAAAAATCAAACTAAGACTTGATAATTTGGTCAGCATCTTTGACATCACTACAGCTTACACAGGGCTAAACTTTCTCTTCTTAGTTTCAGGAGATCCATCGGCTCGTCTCTGCATCAAAAATAAAAAAAAGACAAGATTTGAAAAAGTGCATTTACACTATAGTGAACAGTAAATCTAAACAGAGCGGTTCAAACCAGCCTTTGACACTTGACTAACCTCTACGCCAAGAGCTTCCATCTGACCTTTTCTCTGCTCCAAGTTTTGCTGAGAGAACAGATAAAGAGGGGCAAGAAACAATAAGATAAAAAAATACCATTTAGTAACTAAATAATTGCCTTCCTTGTGGTGTTTCATACACAGCGTCCATGCAGAATAGACTGAGCTACTCATAAATCCACTTGTGCAAATGCCAAATAACAGATTAGCACAACTGCTGTGTTCTAATAAAGCATAGTAACTATTGTAGAGAGCATTCTTTGCTGTGGTTGCTGTCAGAATGCTTGTTGCTTGAACAGACGAGCACTGAAAAATGATCATTAATGCTTTGTTTCAAACGGTTACACTTCTGTTTTGCTGCTCATACATATCCAGCAGTGTACCCTCAAAATCTGTAAACAAACTATCCAATCTGTGTATGTGATGTGATTTACCTTGTGCAGTTCAGAGAGCTGCTGGTGCCTGATGAGAGCTTCTTTGCTTGGGAACTGCCTTCTGCACAGCAGACAAGCCAGTTTAACCCAGTCTGTCATTTTCCCTTCCTTCTCATCTTTGTCGCCTCCTTCATCTTCGCTGTCACTTTCTGCACTGTACGCCGGGACGAGACCAGACTGCCGAGGAGGCGACTGTGGCAGATTACACAAAAAAATCAGAGTGACAATGACAATATGCTACAGGGTGGAAAACAACGTAGCTACACCTGTTAGTAATAAAAAAAAGTTAGAAAAACCTATTTATCCTTACTTCTGTACTTAGTCGAATCTGGTCTAGGAAGCTCTGTGGCCTTTCAGACAGTGCGCCCTGCAGAACAGAGAGAAAAAAAAGTTTGTAAAAGAACATTCAGTTAATAAAATCTGCACAAGCTTGTTAATCAGTCTTCCAATGTGCTTTGATGCCATAACACTCAAAATCAATTATCTTAGGGTCACTCACCTTTTTCTCCAGAACTGCATAGCCTGCATCAGCGCTTGCAGATTCTCTGTAGTCATCCAATAAACTTTGCCCAGGTGCTCGTGTGTTAGCAGAAGGGCCAGCGGCAGGGGACGAAGAGACAGAGCGCATGTTTTCCTTTTGTCTGTTGAGACTCTTAGCCCAACGCTCCATATCTTTGGCAATCTAAATTAATACATTAAAATTAAAAAAAAAAAAGAAAGACTGGGTGCATATTTATTTGCAAAAATTACAGTCAGCTTTCTGTGTGTGGCTGTCTTTGAACAGTACCTGTTGAGCAGTTTTACTCTTTGGTTTGTCCTTTTTCTCCTTGCTTCCTGAGGAAGATGGAGCCGAGTCTGAAGAGGCTGCACCATCTTTTGTTTGAGCACCTTCACAGTCGGACTGGTTGGAAGCAGGAATATAAGTGTGCTTCTCTCCATCCCAGTACATGTACTGCTGAGAGTGAGAGTTGTAGTAATACTGCCCAGGGAAGAAATACACAAAACCAGAAAGTTAAACTTGAGGAAGGATACCAGTTTAATATCTGCATAAACAAATATCTGTTTAACACAATAATTACCTGAGAATTTGCGTCATAGTAAAGTCCTGTCAATGGGTCATAATAATAACCAGAGCTTTCATCATACTGATATGTAGACACATCTGGAACAGCTGCAAAGCAAAATTCACATCAGTGTGACTATTTTTTTTAGATTTTTCAAGTCTTACTGGGTAATAAAATAACTTCTGCTTCGGCCAACCTCATACTGTTTCATAGTTTATTTATTTGCAGTCATTAGAAACATGAAATGAAACTTACGGTACTGTTTTAGCTCATGTTCAGTACCCGGAGTTGCAGGTTGGCTAGAAGTAGCTGGTTGTGGTTTTCCCACTATCTCAACCTGTAAGCAGACAGAGCTTTTAAAACATAATAACAGCATTCAACTGGGCATGTCAAAGTTTATTTGTCATTCGCACCACATATGGTACATGTATATACACAAAATAAAAAATGTTAAAAGGTAAAGCAAACAGTACTGTTGTACCTGTGTGGTGGCTGGGGTGACAAGAGCCTCTTGCGGGTGAATGAGAGAGTGCTGCACAGCTGCTGAACCAGACTTTAATGCCTCCAATGAAGTGACAGCTGTCAACAAGCAAATAAACTCAATCAAAAACCATTGCGTTCAGTTGTGTAGATCATAAAATAATCTTGAAATAATATTGATCTGGTATTGATTAGAACCTGTGGTCCCTCCTCCCGGGTATGCCCCATTTAAAGACGCTCCTGCAATCGACAAGGCAGCAACCCTGGAGTCTGTCATGTTGTCTGGTCCAGAATACTTGAGTCCTTCCTGACTGTAGGTTACTGCTGCCCCCTGCTGACAGACTGCTGCATCTACATCCTGCCCTGATGCGTTCTGAGAATTGAGAGAAAAATAGACATGCCACACAATGCTACAACAAAACCACAATAAAATACAAACGTGTGTATATATATATATATATATATATATATATATATATATTTATTTATTTATTTATTTATTTCTTGAAGTCTCTGTTTTGCAGTAATGTGAGGTTGGGTCAGATAAGTTACCTGAGTGACGGCCCACTGTGCAGCAGCTATAGCTGTGCTGGCCACTGTAGCAGCGCTCACTCTGCTACTGTCTGTTGCAAAGACATCACTAATGCAAAAAAAAAACAAAAAAAAAAACAGGATTTTAAATTTTATGGCTGCTGAATTTCATTTAATAACATCTGAATGTGAACAACAATGTTTCTGTTGCGGCTAAATCCGAGTGAGGGTTTACCGCTTGGAGCCTTTGGCATATTCCACCACAACAACTTTGCCATCGACAGACAGAGGTGGCTGGAGAGCCTGCAGGATCTGGAGCAGCTGAGAAGCCTCCTGTTCATAAAGCACACAGAGCTTTCACATAAGCAACGGTCGATGCATTTATTGTTTCAAACTATATCTACAAAATATCTTCAAGAAGGTTATGAACACAAATTCATCAAATCTGAAGACATTATTGTTATAAATAAATCAGCATTTGCCAAGTTACTTATTCTACATTAGTAAGTATGCCAAGCCTTTAAGATGCAACTTTATTTGCAGAGACTATGTGAATATGTGTCTTTCAAATTCTTACCACTATTGTAGAGAGTTGCAGAAAGGCAAAGCCTCTGTTGAGGTGTGTGTGCTTGTCTTTGATTAGACGAACATTGGAAGGGGAGAGAGTGGCAAATGGAGTCAAAGCAGACAAAATGGCTTCCACTGAAGTATGAGGACCAAGGTTTCTTAGAATCAGAGCTGGTAAAAGAGAAGTGTACAAATTATATATTTGTAAAAGTAAACAATAATAATAATAATTGTTAATCCAGGGGTTCTCAAACTTCTTGGGTTCTGGGACCCCCTCATAACCCTCATGTTTATTAAATAATTGTCTTCGTTTCTTTAATGCAATGGAAATATTTGTGCAACAAATACTTAAGACCTGTTCTTTAATAGTGTTAATACAATTTTTATACTTTTAAACACAGGGTATTTTTCATTCAAGACACACTTAATTAGCAAAAATTTTAATTTCAACTTCCAAAAATTACAGTTTTGAGAAAATTAACAGAATCAAAAATCTCTTTAAAACTTTACTTATTCACTTAACGAACATAAAAGTATTTCCACTTCTTCAAATTATTACAGAAAGCTCTTGACATCAGTAGTCATACCAAGTAACAGGGCTTCCTTTGTAAACCGATTGATGCCAGAATGCAAATATAGGGCAGGGGTAGGGGCGGACTTCCCTCAGAAAATTCTGAATAAAGTAGATGTGGTTCCTGCATTTTAGTGTATTTTAATGGGCTGTTAAACATCTACGTGCTTGTAAAAAATAAAAATTTTGCGGACCCCCCAATCACCAGCTCGCGGATCCCCGGGTGTCCCGGGACCCCAGTTTGAGAACCACTGTGTTAAACCATGCAACAAATTATTTCTAGGGATGCACGATATTATCTGCATGGTATCAGTATTGGCTGATATTAGCGTTAAAGTTCAATATCGGACATCGGCCATTCCATTAAAATAACTCGCCGATATAAAAGGCGCCGTTTTGCCTGCAGTGGCAGCACAACATGACGACGCTACGTGCGCCTACCTGAACTCACGGCGGAGAGGAAAATTCAAAATGTCGGTGGTGTGGAAGTTTTATTTTTTGTTGGTGAGGATGTCAGATTCAGAAGATTTATGGACTACGTTGAGCCTCGCTACATCGTCCCCAGTCGGAGATACTTTTCTGACTTAACCTTACCCGAGCTACAAGCCGTCATTTCCAACATCATTGAGAAGTTAATAGCCGACAGCACTTAGGTGAGTTTTACCACAGACATTTGGACGTCGTATTAGCCCCGTTAGCATGATTAGTCTTACGGCACAATGGATAGATAAAAACTTTGAACTTAAAAAGTCTGTCCTTCATGCACAGGAGTGCAGAGGATCCCACACTGCAGCTAGGAACCTGGAACAAGCCTCCACAAGTGAGACAGCATCGCAGGTGACTAATGCTAATAAATAACATTTAACACTTTTCATTTAATATAAGTTAAAGTGCTATGTATATCATATGGCTGTTACTGAATATCTGTCACCAGCTCTTACACAACTGTTGTAGCAAATAAGCCTAAATAAGACAAGAGGGCTATGTTCTGACAAAGGAAAGTGTATAAATGATCGGTATCGGACAAATAAGTTTTAACGTATCGGCATATCAGCCAAAAATCCAATATCATGCATCCCTAATTATTTCTGCTACTGATTTAGTAATAAACAGTAAATATGATTTTTTTGTTTGTTTGTTTACAAAATAACACTAAAAACACTACACAAAATGTTACTTGTGCAACAAAAACATATACGTTGTAAACAAAGCTGCTCCTCCCAGGTCTAACAAGAAAAAACTGCTGTGGCAAGAACAATAAACTGACAGGCTTACTGTCATTAGCAACATCAGCCTGCTGGGCAGCATGGCCCGGCGGGACACTGGGACCAGTTGTGTGGTAGGATGTCGGTAGAGGCAGTAAACCTTGGGCTCCTTCCTTCTGATGACTGACAGGCAAATCCCTCTGCGCCTGTGGCAACTTCAGCTCAGCCTCTACAGAAAGGGAACATCACAGTTATGCAATAATGTAATTACTGTATAAAAAAAGAGATTATCTCAGCAATTTACAACAGCTCCAATTAACTACCTGATTTAGGCACGCCGCACTTGAAGCACTTCTCCCTTCTTTTAAAGTTTTGCACACCACACTGTTAGAATGTCAAATGAGCTATTGTTAGAAAACTTCCTGAATGGGTCAGAGTGAGAGCTGTATAAGCAGGACCAGAAGAAATTTCACATCAGGCCCAAGTCTAACAGGCTTAATTTAACACACAGAACCTTGTTGCAGAGCCAGTCCTCGTTGGCCCGCGGTTTGGGGTCACTGTAGTGCATCGACACTCTCTGTCCCAGGATCAGCAACATTCCCTGAATGGAAAATAAAGAGAAGTAGGAAGGACAAAGAATGAATATCACCCATAATTTGGCCACATGCCACAGAGAGGCCTCATCTCACAAGAGATGAGAAAAAAAATGAAATAAAGGCAGGAGATGGAGAGAAACAGAGGAAGAGGGGATAGCCGAGGTTGAAAGAAAGAACAAGAGAACTGCAACCTTCAGCTTTAGAAAATTCGGACGGACTGAGATGGTGTGCGTGTAGTGACGTGGACATCCATTTTTAAGGACACCCGTGTTTTTGATCAATTGTTATCCCTCCCCCCTTAAGGGGAAACCTTCCACAGTATACAACACGTCATACAAGTGTCATCACCTTCACCCCTCAGAGACAGTAGCTTTGACCTAATTTTCTTATGACTGGAAAACAAACCCAGTAAAAATAAAAAAATAAAATAAAATGAAACACTGTTTCTGTTTTTATATATATAAAAAAAGACCTTGTGACAAATTGGCACACTATTCTAGAGGTGGTATTGTAAAATCTGGACACAGACATAAAAAAAAAAAAAAGTCAAAGAAAGTGGGGGTCCTCTGTTAAAAGAGGAGGTTATACTGGAAAAAAAAGGTGACTAGGGCTTCATAAACTGACAGACAAGCTTAAGCACAATGCATACATAAATTTGCCTGTTTGTGGAATTTGTATGAATATAAAAAACAAAAAAAAAAGATAAAATATATACTCTATATGAAATCCAACCTACCTCAGGCAGTTATCATTTTCCAGTGAGTTTCTACATTTCACTGGAAAACTTTATGGCGTGTTGTGGCTTGTGTATCATAATAACTACTGTCCCTCAGAATTAATCTATTGAATGTGTATTTGTGTCTGTGTTGGAGAGAGTGACCTGGTTGGTCTCCATCCAGCGCGTGGCCTCCTGTATGAGATTAAACTCGACGAAGGCGAATCCTCGGCTCTGACCTGGACACCGCCCAGCGCCACAGCAACCGAACAACAACATAACAACAACGCAGTGTTTGGGTTAGTGCTTCATGTACAGAGGAGATAAAGAGAGAGAAAAAGAGAGACCCTAAATCAGCTCTAATAAAATTCATCATTACATCTCCTCTCCCTCAAGTAGCCCGCACAAGGTGGGAGGATGCAACGTTACGTTACTCATCAGGATAAAGGAATGAGAGAGAAGCCTACCCACTCATCAATTTGGGTCTGAGATCTTTGGATTTGAATGATGAAGCACTCAGGCACCAACAAAATACACACACAAACAAATACACACATACATTTCTGAAAAATCGTCTGCCGGGCTACAACTGTGATGAATGAATATACATGACTGATAACATTGTACAACATATTTAGCTAGCATCTTTCATTAAAAACAGTAATCTATATATATATATATAAACAAAATGAATTAAAAAAACTAAAACCTATACAACCGCACTACTGAGGCTTAAAAACAGAGAATGACTAACGTAGAAAAAAGGAGTGTAGTGTTGGGGAGTGTAAGAGTGCCAGCGTCAGAGAAGCACAACTTATAGACAACCAGGAAGTTAGCATTGTGAGAGACCAGTATTACTGTACAGTGACCTTAATTGAAAAAATATTAGAGAAAAGAAATTGAATAGTAATGACACCCATGTAGCCAAGCATTAGCTGCGATGTTTGAATTCAGCTGCTCACACACCCAAACGTAACTACAATGACACAAACACACTTCGCTTGAAATGCTAACTTCTGATCTGACACATTTAGTTTGTGAATTTACGGTAACTTCTCATACATAACTAACTTCAGGATGGTAAGCAGAATCACAAAAGGGTAAAGACAATGTGAGCAACAAAGGAAAAAAAAAAAAAATCGAAGCTATGAAATGAACTTTGTTGTATGCCTGCATTTTAACGTGAAAACCTAAATTATTAGGATGCTTCTTTAAGACTGCGTGGATGTTGCCCTGGTAACCGTAGCACAGGTACAGAAACCAGAAAACCAACGTAATAAAACTGGGAAACTAAGCGAAGGTTTGCTCTGTATACGAGCATAAACCTGTAAGTTTTCTTGCTTTGCACAAGCCGTTAAGCCAGAAGCTCAAGTTTTATGAAAGACTGCAACAGCAAGAATAAGAATAAAAAATGGAAAGTGAAGATGCTCACTCCTAACACGACGTAGATTTAAGAGGCAGGTCAAAGTCAACATTAAGAGCTGTAAAACTGACAAAGCTGGTAGTCAATGACACTGACACAAGGAGGAAAGAAACGGAGTAAAACTCTCGGCCTGTGGACATGTCCTCACCTGAAGATTTATTCCTCATAAGCCGAACCTCTCTTGGCTGGATTCCCTGCTCCTGGAGTTGTGTTCGGATCTTTAAATAGAAACAAACAAAAAAAAGTTTAGATTTAAAATCAACAACAATAAAAAAGAAGAAAATCCAATTATCAACACAGTCTTGTTCAAATAAAATGCACCTCATTGGCTGTAGCACTGTGTGGAAGCATGCGAAGCATGATAATGTTACTGGGCCTCTCGTTGTGATCCAAATCGATACGGTAGTCCTGGTCCCTTGGATCCAGATCCTCAGCTGACAGGTCTTGGATCATATTTCCACATCCATGCTCCTCTGCTGTCACTGGGAAAGTCTATGAATTGATTGTATAACTATTAATGATCGAACTAGAACAGTAAAATATGTTGCAGACCATGCATCTATGTCTTACCCTCCTCCGTCCAGCTCCACGTAAGAACCTGTCCTCCTCCCTCCGTCTACCTGCGCCAAACTCCATCTGCTCAGGATGGGTATCAGCGGGATCCCAGTTGCCCATCCTACCTTCTGAGCGTGAAGCATTTTTTTCCAAAAAGCCTCTTCCACCTTTTTGTCGACCCCTTTCATGAAAAAACACATGTGGTGGCTCAGACCTCGGTCCACTCTCTCTCTGGTGGATGAGATGGGCCACAGCAGGGTGTGAATGAGCAAAAGGGGGCCACATGTGGCCTTTCCTATCCCTCCTGATGTTGCCTCTGCCATTCCCTCGGTGGTGAAATCGTACACCATCTTGGGGAAAACCAGCTGAGAAATCAGGTACACCCGGTGGCCCCTCGTGGTGGCTGTATACTCCATCATCCTCTGCTCCTGCCTCCTCATCCTCTTCATAATCTCGATAGTCCATGTCCCGAAAGTTGTGGTCATTGTTCATGTTGCCATAGCGACCTATGCGATCACCTCGCCCGCCTCTGTTGATAAAAATATATAGATACTATATATATTGCGTGATCCTTTTCTGCAACCAAATAAGACAATTTAAAATAAAAACTTCTACTTACCTCAGTTCATAGTCCATATCGACCCAATAATTCAGCTTCAAGACTCTGTTCTTTTTCTGTTCACACTGTTAGATGAGAAACAATATTTTAAAATTAACCTCCTAAAATAAGAGGCATAGTACAAATAAACGCTGCACGATGCAGACTTCTACAACTATCGATGCTAACCAAATTACAGTACTAAACAAAACTTAGCAAAAAGTGCCGTAGCATTATTTATATTGATTATAAGTAATCAATAGGATGCGTACGCAATGCATACGTAATTTTTTACTCTTTAACTGTGAGTTTTTAACAATGTCGCATGGCGGTCATCTCTCTGTTAGCTGCCAAGCTATCTCTTTTAGCCTGCGGCTAGCTAGCAAGCCTAAGCTAGATAAACAATACGCACACAGCTGTCATTGTTAAAATACAAAGAGCCTTTAGCAGAATTGGAGCAACATTTACCAGCAACGCGTGAAACCGACAATCCTCCCGGAAATGTCACGTTAAAATCCAGGTGAGTGAAGCGTTTAATTTTGTGTAAAATTAGCGTAAAATGGCCACAGTGAAATATACAAGTGGGCGGGGCCAAAACACGAAGCTCTGAAGACTGATTGGTTGTCAGTTGAATGTATGTTACGTAAAAGATGATTGGACGAAACAAATACGTGAACTCAAAGAGTCGAACCTGGATTTTTATTTTTTGTCATACATTTTAAGTTATAAGCGTTATGGTTTCCAAAATGTTTGGAAATGTATTTTGTTCAGTTAGTCTGGTGCAATTTAACCATGCTTAGTTATTTTTTATTGCCCATCCAAGACCTACTCTAAACAGAAATAAATGTTGAACACAGTCTGTTTCTATGCAGTCAACTTTGCTTTGTGATCATTTAGCATTCATTACATCTAAGCCCATAAATTAAAATTTATCATTTAACTGGGATCGTCGTATTTTTCCTAATTAAATTAACTTGTATAGTCACAGTGACACTCAATGCAGTGCAATGTTACATAATGCCTGCTGCAGTTGCCATGTCAAAGAGTTCCCTCACACCATCTTTGGTTTTGGCAGAGCACAAATAATGAACAATTTTGAACAAATTAAAGAAGTGGGGTGCACTATTAATGCCTGCTTTATTTTGGCAAGTTCTCATCTGGTGTGCTCATTATTAAGAAAATTGATTTTGTTCCCAAACAGGATAAGGGGAACATTTGGGTAAAAGTTCACTTCAGGATTCCACTTTTCAGGAACATTTTCTAGGGAAAAATGAAAAAAAAAAAAAAAGTAGTAATTTACAACTGATATTAATTTATGTTTCAAATACAATCAATAAATATTGACTAGTGTTTCTCAGGTCTAACAAGGTTGAGTCAGGTCCTCTGGACGGGTTCTTCTTAGTTGAAACGTTTAATCTTTTAACCAAAATGCTTCTTCAGTATGAGGAGCTGCAACAAACTCAGTCTTATAAACAGCACCTTCTCATAGTGGATCAACCTGTTTGCTGGTGACATCCAAAACTAGTTGTTCACATGCAAAAGGAGGATCAGCCCAACAACCTTAGTGCCCTGATGGCTGCTTGCTATTCACAGAGAGCTGAGTGATACTAGCAACAATCTGTGATCGGCAGGTTGCTGGGTTGACCCCACATCATCAAAATGTCTGTGGGAAAGATGAAGCACATCTGCCTCTACCCTCATTTGCTCCACTCTGGGCCCTTGAGCAAGGTCTGTAATCCCACTATCTGCTCCCACGGGCACCCTAGATGGCAGCTCTCTGCTCCACAGAGGGCTGTGGTAGCTCGGGGGTCTGTGGTTGTGTCAGGAAGGGCATCTGCTGTAAAGACAATTGCCAAGTCTGCGTGCAAGTTAGTTTCTTGTTCAATTAAACTGATCCTCAGTTCTGGTCTTGATCCAACTAGTAAAAATATTTAATAAATGTTGCCTTGAGCTGAAAGCATTTCCTCACATCCATCCATCCATCCATTATCTTTACCCGTTAATTCCATTTTGGGTCACGGGGGTCGCTGGTGCCCATGTCCAGCAATCACTGTGCGAGGGGCGGGGTACACCCTGGACGGGTCGCAAGTCCATCACAGGGCCATTTCCTCACACTGAAATCTTTTTGTTTTACAACATAAGATTTAACAAGGTTAAGTCATGTCGCCTGGACGAATTCTACAAGAATCCATCCAGAGGATCTGACTTAACCTTGTTAGATTTATTGAGCATGCATCAGGATATTACATAAGATTCACAATTAATATTCTCAACACTTGAGAACTTCACAAGTCACATTTAATCTCTTTTAGCTCTCAGCTGTGCAGCAGGCTGGCAGACTTTCTCACCTGTTGCCCATTTGACTGTTTCTCCGCACATCTCTAGCACGCATGCACTCGTGTTCAGCATCGTTTGTCTTGGGTTCAATTCAAGTCTCAAACCTTTGTTAATCTGTTGACAATCCAAACACTACATATTTTTTTTAAGGTTAACATACAATTTATCTCAAATATACTGTAATCTGAACAGTTTTATAAGTTACTACAAACACAGACTTGGGTCACATGTGTTGTAAGGTAAAACTGTTGTGTAACGAGTAGAAAATATCAAAAGCAGGGGTGTCAAACTCACCTACGAAAGGGGGCCAAAATTAAAACCTTTTTCAAACTAAGGGTCAGTTTCAAAATCTACATGAACCCAAATCAGATACCCAACATCTTTTCTTGGTTGCAGGTTCCTCAACAAGAGTTTGATTGGTCTCATTTGATGCTCTCTGTTGTGCTTTTGACATCACAATAAAAGATTACAGAAAAAATGTAAGTGATAAAAGTATTTTACATTTAAAATATCATCTTGGGGGCCAGATAAGATTTAACGAGGGCCACATTTGGCCCCCGGGCTTTGAGTTTGATCTAAAACTTGCGTCAAATAGGGGCAACAGCAAGACATGAAAATAAACCTGGATATTGCAATTGCAGCAGTGATTGCACCTTTTCACAAAACTAGCTCATTGTGTGTAACAATTACATATTTAACTTTAAACAACCACTTTACTCATTAACCGAATGCTCAGAAGGTTCAGGGCCTGAACAAAATTATTTTTGTATTTGCAGTATGGAGCAGTGACCTACTTGAGCAGCTGTGGCTGAGTGGTTAGAAAAGTCGTCCTCCAATGCAAGAGTTAGGGGTTCAAATCCACCAGCAGTCACATGCCGAAGTGTCCCTGGGCAAGACACACTGAACCACTCATTGCCTCTGATGTGTCCCATCGGTGTATGAATGTGATAAAGCACTGATTAGTCTCTTTAGAATGATTTGCTCAACTAGCTTTGTAGAGATCTAGTAGAGTGCTGTATGAATGGGTAAATGAGGCACAGATTGTTGTAAAGAGCTTTGAGTGTCTTGATAAGATAGAAAGCTGCTATACAAGTACAGTCCATTTACTTAGTATACCTTAAATATACCCATTCTAACAGATTTTTGAATATTTTTTGTTTCCCCCCCCCTTTTTTACACCTCCTTATACAAAAAAACAATACATTTTCAGGTCTGTCATGCAGGCAGACTTTCATTTTCATTATCTACTGTATGTTCAAGTCATAGATGTCACAGGTTTTCTTTCTTTCTTTTTGGGGTGTTTATTGTTGATTTCTTGTCTGAATTTGTGACGGCTGCAAATTTCAGTGCAACCAAATAAATAAATGACTCCCATTCATGGCTCTCATTTCTATAAAGGTGAATTTTGTCCGGGCAGCACGGTGGCACAACTGGTAGAGCTGCTGCCTCTCAGCGAGCAGGTCCCTGGTTCAAACCCCGGTCCAGGGGCCTTTCTGGGTGGAGTTTGCATGTTCTCTCCGTGCATGCGTGGGTTTTCTCCGGGTGCTCCGGTTTCCTCCCACAGTCCAAAAAACATGCATGTTAGGCTGATTGGTAACTCTAAATTGTCCCTAGGTGTGAGTGAGAGAGTGAATGGTTGTTTGTCTCGTTTGTCTCTATGTGGCCCTGTGATGGACTTGCGACCCGTCCAGGGTGTACCCCGCCCCTCGCACAGTGATTGCTGGACATGGGCACCAGCGACCCCCGTGACCCAAAATGGAATAAGCGGGTAAAGAAAATGGATGGATGGATGGATGAATTTTGTCCTTTTGACTTTCATTTTCATACTTCAGACAGTGACTGATGAGGCAAGGCTTGATCTGTTCAATGTTTATTGCTTTCGTGCATCAGCGTTCGCCTCTCTCCTGACAACCATTTGCCTTGAAAGTAAAAAAAAAAATCTTTAGCCTCTCAGCAAAATGTGCACATTTACCTGAAATTGTATCTTTCAGTGTTTAACTTTGGCAAAAAACAGAAATTACAGTGTCTTGACATTTTTCTAATAAAATCTTTTAATTTTTAAAATAAGTCGGCTTTAAAATAGTCTTTGCACAAATATGACCTTTTCATACACTTTGTTCTACTTAGTTCAACGTTAGTATTTATGCTCAGATTAGCGAGCATGAATCATGTCTCTGAACATTTTATTGTGCATACATCATGATCACTGTACGAGATACAGGAGCTCTCCATGAGGTGCATCACAGCTTCACGACTCTCTCCTGCCTGAGAATTAGGGAGTTAGACACGAGGCTACAGTCTGAGCTCTCCGTGTTCCTTCTCAGATCCAGTCCACGTGACCTTGAGCGTGACCTCTGTCTCTTCCTTGTAGTCACAAGTTGTGCTCATTGAGATTTGAGACGTTTTTACTGTAGATGTCCAGGTAACAACACTGCAGCTTTTATTAGTTTCTATGGACACAGGAAAGACGTTCTGATTGGCTGCCTGGCTCAGTCGTTCATTCGCAGGACTATTTCCTGCTGACGGCGGTGCTGTTGCTGCGCTGGTAGAACAGCACATAAGCTTGATTGGTCTGAAGCTGGTTCTCTGTGAGCAGGGTCACACTGTAAGGGAATAAATGAAGGGAAATGATAAGAAACAGGTTCAGAATCACAGAAAAGATGCCCCGACATATAACTGATATGCAAAGCACCGCTGAGTAAAAGTCCAGAACCCATTCTGCAGCAGGACACGTCCCACCTGGAGTCATTGTAGAAGCACCAACCATTGTCGTCTAAACAGCAGGCTGTGTAATGGCCCATGTTTACGGTCCCAGCATGGTTACATATTGCATACAAGTCATACAGAACAGAACCTGTGGAGGTAAAAGATACAGGGACTTCAACCAGAACTAAAGTTAAGCTCAGAAGATTTGGACACAAACAATTTTAGCTGTTTACATGTTCATGTTGCAACATGAACCAAGCACAAACTCTTATTTTAAAACTGAGGATATTCAAATTAAATATTGAGAATTGAAGGTCTGTGGGTTAGAGAATCTTTTGCTGAAGTCAGCAGTCTGTTTCTTTCTATGTGCACCTCTGCGTTGGTTCTTTTTTAAAACTCTTGTAATCAGCAAGTGCAGTTGAGCTCAGTGGAGCTGAGACTAGTTGATTTACTTGGCTACGATAAAACAATGTTTGATTTACATAGAAACAAAAACAGTCATGTAAGCTTAGTCTGGATCTGAACAAATGTTCATGCTCATCTGTCCAGTGGATGCTGCTCTGCATGTGGCCTGGCTTTTATCATTGATTCAGTTTGTTCATATAGGACCAGTTCACTGCAAGAATCATCTTCCGTCTTAGTTTTTGTTGTTCGGTCTGTACGAAACGGTTTTGTCCTCACCTTTGTTGCCACTTCTGCTCAGAAAAATATGTTCTGGTTTCACAACTAAACAACTGTGGGCTTCAAAATTACAAGGTACACATTTGCTTTGAAAAGCAGCAGAATAGAAGCCAAAGAATTGTGTATTTCATTGAATTTTAGCTTTTCTATGTGAATAGTCAATTGTATTACCAATTAAATGCCCTCATCGTTTGTTGGTCAAATATTGATCATGCTTAAATGAAACATCAATCAAATCTATCAGAAAAAATAGTTATGGTAGTTCTTCTTGGTTTGAAGTATAACTGTGGTCCAGCTGGAAGCCTTGACTCCCCCCACCCCTTCTTTAAATCAAATACCTTCACACAAATTTCGAACATTTTAATTTCTCTACTCCATCAATGTCAGAAAGTTTGTGCAACCTTTCCAGCAGCATTTACTCTATACTGTTACAAACACTCGCACTTGGTGAGTTTGCTTATTAATCAAAGATGAAAAAACAGTTACCACAGTCGATGGGTCCGTAGCGTCCAAGGTCCAGGTTTGTGAGGGGGAAAGACACATACACTGTGCTTTTACTGATCGACCACCGGGATGTTGTAAAACGATTGAGGTCTGTTTGAGAGTGTTAAGTCAAACATTTCTGTACATAACCACCACTTTTGGTTTTGTCTCCACAGGAAGTGTTGCCAAGGATACGGATCACTATGACCTGAGGAAACCTGTGGATGGACAGCCTCTTGGTGCACTCCGTCCGCCTGCTACACCTCTCACACATCTGGAAAATGCAGAAACAAACAGCTTGGGTTTTCTCCAGAGTATTCTTTGGAGTAGAGTTAAAATAAAGCATCAGTAGGGATTAGTGATGTCTTACGGGTGAGTTTTCTTTATCGAGTTTTTCCTCCTGAGAGAAGAGGTCCAGGCACTCCCGCAGAGTGACCTTCCCCCCAGAGCTCCTTTTGGGGATAGGCAGCGACAGGTCACAGAACACATCGAACGTGGTGGAGTAGTGCGAGCAAACCGAGCAGTGAAGCGAGCTCCGCAGCTGGCCAGAGAACAGCTCTGTGACGGAGAAGAGACAAGACTGAGTTGATTCCTCAAACGAACCTGATGGAGGACAGTGAACCAACAACCCTCCTTACCTACGATCACACTGTCATCTCTCTCCAAGTGCTTCTTCCACACGGCTGCTGCCTCCTCCGAAATTCTTCACAAAAATGAAAAAAAGAGCAAAATACGTTCTCACAGGAAACAAGAGAAGAACAGAGGTCATTCACCCCCCCACCCCCGCCACGCACCTAAATCGGCCATATTTTTGCTCGGGCTCCTTCACCATTCTCCTAACATTTGGTCTGCGGTTTATTTCAGTGTGGAGCTTGTCCAGCAGAAACCTGAGGAACTCCTGAGCGTCCTGTTGACTGCAAAGAGACACAAACTCACTATCATCACCCGCCGCTGAAGTCCTGCCAGTGTCCTTGTGTGCCTATGGCCAAAAATCTCATGAACCACTGGACAAATTTGAATGAAACTCCCAGAAATTCATTAGATGTACATCTTCAACTGATAAACATTTGGAGTCAACTCAAAATGGACACCACAGTTATTCATCATCAGCCAACACAAAATGGCTATAACTCAGGCAGCTTTACAGATACTGTGCTAAAATATGAAGTGGTAGTATTTGAGTCATTTACAGCACATAAGATTGAAAATAACATTCCAAAAAATTTATGACTCCATACTTTCTCTGAACTAAGTCTGAACCTCTGCAGCAGGTGATATGTATTCATTCAAAACTTTTAGTTATGTGTCAGACACAAAAAGCACAAAAAGCATTTATGAACTTATTTTAAAAAAACTGACATAAAATGAATGCTGTGCTGCGTTTCCTAGGTTGTTTGGTAGCACTGTCCTAACATGAGTCAGACTAACAAAGACCTTAATGACCCCAATACTGTAGATCATGACATCTTATACAACAAGCTCTCAGATGTTGGTTTCTCAGATCACACTGTTGGCTGGTTCTCAAAATATCTCTCAGGTTGAAGGCAATGTGTTTGAGCTAACGGTACCTCATCTAGCTACCTAACGATCAATAATGGTGTGCCACAAGGCTCAGTTTTAAGTCCCACTCTTTTTACAATTTATAAAAATAATGTAGGTCAAAACTTTCCTGACACATTCTTGCATCTCTATGCCAATGACACAGTTGCTTATTGCTGAGCTAACACGGTTGCCAAGGTGTTCCATCTTCTACAGTCTGCATTTGACATCATTCAGTCAGATTTATTCCATCTCAAGCTGGTGCTAAATGCTGAAAAAACCAAAGGGATGTTGTTTTCCAACAGGAAGTCCGTGCCAGCAACTCTTCCTCCTATCTCATCCATGCATGGTGTTCGTAGATTCTTACAAATACTTAGGAATTTTGGTCAATGCACATCTTGTGGGGAGTGGTGGCGCAGAGGTTAGAGAGGTGGGCTTGTGATCCGAAGATCGCCGGTTCACGTCCCGGCCCCGACAACATCAAAAAAATTGTGGGTGGGGTAGGTGAAACACCCACACTTGCCCCCACCCTCATTCGCCCCACTCTGGGCCCATGAGAAAGGTCCTTAACCCCACCATGTGCTCCCTAAACAGGTCTCTCTTGAAAATGAGTTCTCGTGGCTCAATGAGACTAACCTGGATAAATAAAGGCTAAATGAAAAAAAAAAAACTTAGGAATTTTGGTCAATGCACATCTCTATTTTAAACCACATATCAAAAACTTGATAAAGAAATGGTAAATGGACTGTACTTATATAGCACCTTTCTATCTTATTTCAAGATACTCAAAGCGCTTTAAACTACAATCTGTGTCCTCATTTACCCATTCATACAGCACTCTACTAGATCTATACAAAGCTAATTGAAAAAAAAAAAGAGACTAATCAGTGCTTTAGATCACATTCATACACTTATGGGACACACATCAGAGTCTATGAGGGGTTCAGTGTCTTGCACAGGGACACTTCAGCATGTGACTGCTGGTGGATTCGAACCCCCAACTCTCGCATTGGAGGACGACTGCTCTAACCACGCAGCCACAGCTGCCCCAGAAAGAAACTGAAATTAAAATTGGGTTTCTTTTTCAGAAATAGATCTTGCTCAACTCTGAATGCGAGAAAACACCTTGTACCACTACCTTCTTACCAGCCATCGACTGTGGTGACATCACTAACATGGATGCCCCTGCCAGCTCCTTGCAGATGTTGGATGCTGTCTACCATGGCACGCTAAGATTCATAACTGGTTGCAACTACTGTACTCATCACTGTACTCTGTACTCCTTGGTCAGTTGGTCATTTTCTACATGTAGGCTCTCACATTGGTTCATTTTCATCTAGAAATCACTCCTTGGTCTGCTACTTTCTTATATCTCCTACCACATGTCACACCATCAGTGCAGTTACAACATGCGCTCTCTGTCCATCGTTACCTGCAGTGTTCCCTCAGTGTGGACTGAACTTGGCAAAAAAGGCCTTTTCTTACTTTGCTCCTGCAACACCTTGCAACAGGAACTGAAGTTGTCCTCCTTGACTTATTTAGGGGATTTTAAGCATTTGATGATGTCAATAGAAAAATCAAAGCAAATACGTTTTTGTTTTTAGCATTTCACCCTGTTCTATGGCACTTTGATTGATTGTTTTACAACACTACTTTTATTTTTAACTGCATTTTACTGTAGTTTACCGTTATTGTTGTCTGTACTTTACATGTTCTGTCTGGAACAGGTCTCTCTTGTAAATGAGTCCTCATGGCTCAATGAGACTAGCCTGTATAAATAAAGGTTGAATGAATGAATGAATGAATGAATGAAAAAAATGAACCCTGATTGCGAGGAGTGATAGGGCAATCCGAATATGTATTTATCTTACATTAGCTTTAGAACTCAAATCCCACACAATCAGTTCTTTGAAATGAGAAAGCTCCTCAGATGAGAAGCGAAATGTCTTCCGTTACAAGATAAAGTCCAGTTGTTTTTGTCGTAAACCTTTTTGAATTTACCCTGTCCTGGGTGACGGAGCACACTGTCCTAACACCTCATGCTGAATGTGTAAAAGTTTTTGCTGATATAAACATTGTAAAAAAAAGGGGGGAATACTTTTACCTGTAACTGTTGAAGTAAGGCACTGCTTCTTTGAAAATACTATAAAACTCTCGAGGATTTACAACCGTGTCACCTTCAGGCACGTCCCAGAGACCTGAAAGCACCTGAGAAAAAGCTGGTATGGAAAAAGAAATGATCAATATGAGGGAGTGAAAGTTTTAAATAGGATTAATGAATAGCAAAAGAAGAGAAAGCAGCACACCGTCCATGAGCTTGGCCTCCTCTTTGGAGTATTTCTCATGCTTGTAAGACTTGAGGAGACAATAGTTTCGCAGGACACGTGTGTGAGACAAACACTGGACCACAGCGTTCAGGAAACACTAACACAACAGAAACAGAGCGATGAGCTGAAGCAAAAAAGATTCTCGTTTTTTGTAAATAAATCTTTTTAATGGCTTCATCTGAACACCTACTGTGTTTCCGATGTTTCTGAGGCCAAGCCTTCCACTTCCCAAAGCAAGTGGCTCTTTCTAAAAAAGATAATAATTTCAAGAAACACGTAAAGTAAAACTAGATCCAAACAACTGCATCGTGTTGTGTAATTGGTATGCCACGCGTCCTATTTGACCCCTGGCTGTACCCGTGCTTCATGTGGCAGTGTCTTTTTTTAACCCTGCCATGCTGGCCTGTGTTTAACTTTGGCTGGACAGATTTAGCCTTCTTATCTCGTTAGCACAACAGGAGCTACTCAAACGAGGTCAGTCTGAAGAGTCCATCCAATTAGAGAACACAAGGAGTACCGACGGGTGAGTAAACACGTGCGAACCGATGTCTAAATGCCGTTACATGATTTCTCCCATCTCAATGGTTTCCATTTCAACCCACAAACTGAAGTTTTGCGTGTCCACACCTCGTCGTCAGCGACCAGAAGCAGGCCCATCAGCGACGTGTAGAGCACAGACTGGGAGATGTCGGTGGTCTCTCTCTGTAGGCCGTTCTGAGACACGAGGGTTCGACACAGGGCCTCACAGGAACCCTCCACATTGACGCCACTGGAGCCAGGCATCCTGTATTACCTAACCTCTGAAGGGCAGCCCCTGACGGAAAGTATTCAAAAAAAAAAAAAAAAGCCTTACATTGGCTGAGCTGTATCTCCTAATTCTTTTCACTTGCAAGGTGAAAGGTGAGCAGGATGCAGAGGCCGTGCATGAACCCAAGAGAAACGCTTCCTTTGTTCAACTTTCTCATACTCTTCCAGGTGAAAGTCAAAGAGGTGACAATCACAGCTGCAAGGAAAAGAACAAATCCTTTTGACTAAACTGAGATGACTTCACCTCACATTTATCACGTGTAAAGTTGAGTCTAAAGGAGATTAACAAATCAAAATATTAACACCTGCCACTGAAAACAAAAAAAAAATATTTGATGATCTTGCACTCAGCGGTCATTGATTTAACTGAACACACTTAAACATACTTATCGTTATGTAACCTTGAAGCTAGAGAGCACCACACATCCATTTATCCAACTAATGTCCACATTTAAGCAGGTTAAAGTAACCTTTAAGCAATGCATATTATTTTACAAACTATTTCTGACAAATCTGCAGCATTAAGAGATCAGAGCGATTTGGACTCACCTGAGCGCCTCTCTATCTGTGGACAAAGTGTCCGAACCCAACTGTTCCCATCGTCTGCTGAGCTGTTAAAAATGCATAAGGGGACGTCTACGGTTTCACTGTTTGTGTGCTAGAAGTGAAAGTCTACCTCTCTTCGTCCGTCCTGTCACTAGTGTCAAAGAGAGAGGGAGAGAAAGAAAGACCGAGAGGCAGCGAGAGTGACAAACGGAGAGCGGGGAGGGAGGATAATCATCTCTAATCTTTTCTCTGTGGATTGTGTTGGCTAACAGAGGTGTCGTGGTGTCCAAGCAGCCCAACAAATATTTCAACTGTCAGTTTATTAAAAAAAGAAAGCAGAACGTCAACTTTTTTCCACTTCAAATTCACATTCAAGAATGCTGTTTCCCAGTATGTACTGTCATATCATTCACAAAAAGCAATAATAATAATAATAATAATAATAATAAAAAAAAAAGGTATAAAAATAATATGCGCCTTCTTTTTCCACAAGCAGTTCTGTTTAGTTTCTCCTCCTGGCGATCAGTCCAACGGTCAGCAGGTGCTGTGATCCGCCATGTCTGTGTCTGAGCTCAGACTCAGGTCGGCTATGTGACACAGGGCGGGATCGGGGGGCAGAGGGAGCTGCGACTGGCTGGTCTGGGCCGTCCTGTCCCGGGACTGCACGATGGCCTGGCGCAGGCAGGTGATCCACTGCTGCTTGCTGAAGGAGTCGTTGGCCTGCAGGCAGTAAGGGTTGACCTTGGAGCGCCCTCTGCTGCTCACGCGGAAACAGTTCTTCACTACCAGATGACAGAAAGAGGAAGGAAGTTGAGTGAAAGCAGAATTGTAGGTTTCAGTTCCACAAAAGAAGAGAAAAAAACAAGAGAGTGGTGTTGCTTTTGTTGCTGCACATTGTATGTGGGCTGAAGAATACAATATTTCAAGTTTGACAACATAAATGTATTCACATTTAAGTAATTAAGGTACTCTTGCGATGTGCTACCTTTATCATTTCCCCCGGTGAACGCTCCTCTGAAGGTTCCTCCCCCCGCAGCCTCACCATCCGGGATCTCCTCCAGATTTATCAAAGCGTTGCGCAGCGGCTGTCGGTACACATGAAACACCTGCCCGAGATCTCTGTCCTCCCCCGGTCTGGTCAGGACCAAAGCCAGCTCAAACAGGAACACATGCAGCCGCTGACAAAGGGGCACACGTAAGAGATCAATTTTAAAAAAGAAACTAGAACGTTCCTGGAGAAACATTTGACGGGGACTGCCACGCTGCTGCCAATTTAACATTTTGATTTGATAGTACTATGTGTTGGGATTTAGCTCTCAGCTACCAGCACACCAAATTTCAGCTGAATAGCTCAAAAAATGTCTGAGTTATCGTATCCCCCCCCCCCCCCCTTTTAGCTAACGTGGCCATCTTGGATTTTTGATTTGGATTCAGTAAGCGATGAGGAACGTTCTCAGTTATAACCTCACCAAATTTCTGCTCTCTATGTGTAAAAATAGCTCAGTTAAAGCTATTTAAATGGAACTCTGATGGCCATCTTGAATTTTTAGATTTAAATTCAGTATTTAATGGGCATTGCTGTCAAGTACCAAAACACCAAATTTTAGCTGAATAGCTCTATAAATGGCTGAGTTATCATGTTTTTTCCCTTTTAGCTAAGGCAGCCATCTTGGATATTTGATTTGCATTAGGAATGTATAACAACTCGCTGTCAGCAACGACCAACACAAATTTCAGCTCAATAGCTCAAAGAATGACTGAGTTATAGTCAATTTTGTGTTTGCTGAGGTAGCTGTGGCAGCCATCTTGAATCAAAATGGCTCCAAACGTTAATCAGTTCTAGAGATACATCTGATTACTTTTTGTGAGTTTCAAACAAATCCAAAAATGACTTTTTAAAGAGTTTTTTTTTCCAGGGAGCTGTACACTAAGTCAGTGGTTCCCAGCACTGTTCCTTGAGGAACACCATCCTGCACGTTTTAGTTGTTTCTCTGCTCCAACACACCTGATTCAGTGGGTTAATTACTTCCTTAAGTTCAACAGAAGCCGGTTAATCACCTGTTCATTCAAATCAGTTGTGTTGGAATAGAGAAATAATTAAAACATGCGGGATGGTGTTCCTCAGGGACCAGGTTTGGGAACCACTGCGCAGTTAGTGACAAGTGTTCCATCAGGCGTTCTGTATGGGGAAAAAACGGCATCTTTGCCTGCAAATTATGTCACCATGGTAACTCGAAACGCCAGTAAAAGTAATAGCGGACATCACGGTGCCGAGTCAGTCGTTTTGATATAACATTTGTGGGGGTACACATTGCAGTTCGGGCTGCTTTGAAGTTTACGGAAGAGTAAGAAATAAAGTTAAAAAACCCTGTCAGGTGGATAATAATAGGTGCTGCCTCTAACTAGGCAGTCCCCAATTAATAAAAACAGTGTGTGTTGCAGACAAACTAATGTTTCAAAGGGACATCGAGTCTAAAACTCACGGATGGCTCTGTAAAAGCGTCACCGTCAGGTTAGTGGTGCTAAACCTACCTGTCCCTTATTGTTCTTGAGCTCTCCGTGGCAGTACAGGAAGCGAGACTGCTGGATCTCTGAGAGTCTCTGACTCTCCTCGAGGTAGATGAGACCTCGCCGGTAGAACTGGCACTCTGCTTCCCCCGTCTTCTTGTTCACTTCGGCCACGATGGCATGAATCATGTCCAGCTTAAGACAACAAAGACATCCCTCTCACTTTAAGACTGACAAATATCCAAAGCAGAAAACAAAAATAGTAGCACAAACAGAACATCTGTTTAGTTCCAGTGCCTTCAAGTTATCAGACACAAGGGATTTTCAATAACCTTTTTAGGTCACAATTATATTTTGATCTTATGTGGTATGCACAGTTATTTTAGACAGTAACATCTTATTTTGGGCAGGCTGTTAAATTTCACCTGATTCAGATTATAGCTGCCAAGATGCTAAACCACCCAGAGTGTTGGAAGTACGACGACGGAAGAGAAAGAGTGACGGAAATGTGAATTAGTTGCAACTGATATTCTCAACACTCGGCGGTAATATTGCAGTATTAAACCTTCGTAATATCGTGCAGCCCAGCAGTGTTTTTGTGGTTCTTATACAGTTTGAAAGAAACTCAGGAGTCTGCAGGTCGCTTCTAGAATAAAACACGAGCCTCCATCTGAGTTTATATCAATGAAACAGACGTAAAAATCAACTAACTGAAGATTTGCCGCTAATAATAAAGATAGTGGCTCACTTAAAACAACCAATGATTATTTCTGATGTGGTGATGAGTGAACTTTTGAGTGTGATTATAGTGAAAATGAGCGTATAGATGCACCACAATACAAGTTCAAAGTCTGAAATTTAGCAGGTGAGTATTTGAACGTGTGTACGTACAAACTGTCAATGTAAACAGAGTAACACAACTCACAGCTTCAGGAATCGTGTCCTCATCCGGGTGCTCCGGAGGTGTGCACTTCTGTATCTCCTTCAACAACAGAGGGTATTTGACCAGACGGCTCCGAGGGAGGTCCAGAAAGTTCCACAAGTCCAATTTCCTGCTAAATGAAGACTCCTGACACAGGCGCAGGAAGTGCTCCACTCGTTTCTCGTGCTTCTTCTGGTCCAGCAGGGCTTTGGCCCCCACCTGGTTGCAGCAATACGTGACATAGGCTCCCAAGCACGGGAACTGCGAGGAGGAACGAACAGGAGCTTTAAGAGAAACGCAGAGCCGGAGGCAGAGATTCTCTCAGAACTAAAACGATGGCCGGTCCTCGGTTTCCATGGAGATACTCACCCAGTTCAAGAGAGTAGGCCCCACCTCTCCAACCGTCTTCTCCGATCCCCTCAGCCGCTCGAGACGATCCAGCAGATCTGGTTTGAAATATAAACAGGACACTTTATACCCATCTGCTCACTACAGACTCCTGTTCGGGCTGCTGTTTAATATACTGTATTATTTGACATTATTATTGTTTAGTGTATATCTTAGATCCTTACATACCGTTTCTTTTTATACTTTCTATTTTTGCTATTTTTAGGTGTAACTGGGACCCTGAGTACATAATTTTGTTTGTACAACATGTGATGCAAATGACAATAAAGAAGCTTGAATTTTGTGTTATTTTAGCAGTTAGATATTTAAGATAGTCAAATTACAGGCCTGAAAAAATAAATTAGGAGCTGTAGTATGTCAGCTCTAGCTTTACAGTGTATACTTTAATGCATATGTGTCAAACTCAATGCCCGTGGGCCAAATGTGGCCCTCCTTGACATCTTATCTAGCCTCCAAGATGTTATTTTAAATGTAAAATACTTTATCACTTTAACTTTTTCAGTAATCTTTGATTATGATGTCAAAAGTGCAACAAAGAACGTCAAATGAGTCCAATCAAATTCTTGTTCAGGAACTTGCAACAAGAAAAGATGTTGGGTATCTAACTTGAGTTAATGTAGATTCTGAAACTGGCCCTTAGTTTGAAAAAGGTTTTAATTTTGGCCCCTTTTGTAAGTGGGTTTGATACCCACTGCTTTAACGTGTAGTTAACAGCAACCTAAATGCCACTATTAAATGCATAATGTATGCCATACACATTATATTCACAAATAAATACAGTGCCTTGCGAAAGTATTCGGCCCCCTTGAACTTTTCAACCTTTTGCCACATTTCAGGCTTCAAACATAAAGATATAACATTTTAATTTTTGTGAAGAATCAAAAACAAGTGGGACACAATCGTGAAGTGGAATGAAATTTATTGGATGTGTCAAACTTTTTTAACAAATAAAACTGAAAAGTGCGGCGTGCAAGATTATTCGGCCCCCTTGCGTTAATACTTTGTAGCGCCGCCTTTTGCTGCAGTTCCAGCTACTGTCTCTTGGGGTATGTCTCCATCAGTTTTACACATGGAGACTCTGAAATTCTTGCCCATTCTTTCTGCAAAACGACTCGAGCTCAGTGAGGTTGGATGGAGAGTGTTTGTGAACAGCAGTCTTCAGCTCTTTCCACAGATTCTCGATTGGATTCAGGTCTGGACTTTGACTTGGCCATTCCAACACCTGGATACGTTTATTTGTGAACCATTCCATTGTAGATTTGGCTTTATGTTTTGGATCATTGTCTTGTTGGAAGATAAATCTCCGTCCCAGTCTCAGGTCTCTTGTAGACTCAAACAGGTTTTCTTCCAGAATGGTCCTGTATTTGGCCCCATCCATCTTGCCATCAATTCTGACCATCTTCCCTGTCCCTGCTGATGAAAAGCAGGCCCAAACCATGATGCTGCCACCACCATGTTTGACAGTGAGGATGGTGTTTTCAGGGTGATGAGCTGTGTTGCTTTTACGCCAAACATATCATTTTGCATTGTGGCCAAACAGTTTGATTTTGGTTTCATCTGACCAGAGCACCTTCTTCCACATGTTTGGTGTGTCTCCCAGGTGCTGGTGGCAAACTACAACACTTTTTATGGATATCTTTGAGAAATGGCTTTCTTCTTGCCACTCTTCCATAAAGGCCAGATTTGTGCAGTGTACGGCTGATTGTTGTCCTATGGACAGACTCTCCCACCTCAGCTGTAGATCTCTGCAGTTCATCCAGAGTGATCATGGGCCTCTTGGCTGCATCTCTGATCAGTCTTCTCCTTGTTCCAGATGAAAGTTTAGAGGGACGGCCGGGTCTTGGTAGATTTGCAGTGGTCTGATACTCCTTCCATTTCAATATGATTGCTTGCACAGTGCTCCTTGGGATGTTTAAAGCTTGGGAAATCTTTTTGTATCCAAATCGGCTTTAAACTTCTCCACAACAGTATCTCGGACCTGCCTGGTGTGTTCCTTGGTCTTCATGATGCTCTCTGCGCTTTGAACAGAACCCTGAGACTATGACAGAGCAGGTGTATTTATACAGAGACTTGATTACACACGGGTGGATTCTAGTTAACATCATCAGTCATTTGGGACAACATTGGATCATTCATAGATCCTCACTGAACTTCTGGAGTGAGTTTGCTGCACTGAAAGTAAAGGGCCGAATAATATTGCACGCCCCACTTTTCAGTTTTTTATTTGTTAAAAAAGTTTGACACATCCAATAAATTTCATTCCACTTCTCGATTGTGTCCCACTTGTTGTTGATTCTTCACAAAAAATTAAAATTTTATATCTTTATGTTTGAAGCCTGAAATGTGGCAAAAGGTTAAAAAGTTCAAGGGGGCCAAATGCTTTCGCAAGGCACTGTAAGTACATTTAACATGTTTTTATTAGTTAAATACATTTCAACCCTCCTGTTTGTACTCAAGTCTTCAGGTCTGTTGTTTAAAGGCATTATTTATTGCACGGACTTGAACAGGAAATGAAGAGGCATGTTGAAATATAATTGGACTGAGTTGAGAGGTGGAGAAAAGAAAGTTTAAAGAATTTACCTTCATGCAGAGGAATGAGTGAGTCCAAAGTACCGAAGATTTGTCCGAGCTCGCTCTCCGTCATTATGTCCAACTTTAGCATGGGCTCGTAGTACACCTGGCAGCAAAGGGAGGGAACATGAGCGTTTCAAACAAACAAAATGATGCAACAGACAAAACATGCTGCATCCAGGCGAGTAAGTACCTTCTTGACCAAACTGAGGTCTTCTATAAGTTGTTTCTCTCCCTGAGTGAGCTCATAGATGACCTGTAGAAAGGTTCAACACAGGTGCTCAAATGTTTTCATGAAAATAAAGACAATTTCAAAATCAAACCAGCTAAAATACATTCTATTTGCAGAAAATAGCATTTTCTGCACTGCAGAAAACATCCAACAACTCTCTGAGGTGATCACAACGCAAATGAAAATAAAAAGAAAAAAAAAGATTGGTTCAAACATTATAAATTATCACTAAATTCAGATAAAACAAAATTCACGATATTTGGAAACCACAATAAACATGAAAACAATGCAATCAAAATAACTATTGACAGTGCTGATTTAGAACAAGTTCATGAAATCAGACTTCTGGGTGTCATAGTGGAAGATAAATTTTGCTGGAAACCACAGATCTGCAAAGTAAAATCTAAATTAGCTAAAAGTGTTGCTGTTTTGAGGAGATTAAGATTTGTTCTGCAAATCTGTTTATTTTATAGAATAATCTCATTGTACCATATTTGAGTTAGTGTGGAAGTTTGGAACAATACATACAAAAACGTGCAGTCGCTGTACACAATACAAAATAAAAACAATCAGAATATTGCATAAAGTGGGATATTGGGAACATACAAATCCTTTTTTTAAATTTTTTTTATCAAATGTACTGAAATTTTGGGACCTTGTAAAATTCAAAACTGCACAATTTATGTTAAAGTAAAGTAAGAAACCGTCAACATTCAAAAAATGTTTGATGGCAGAGAAGGGGATTATAATTTAAGAGAAGGGAATTTTAACAAACAATATATCAGAACAACCAAAGAGTGTTTTTGTACATTAGTGTGTGGGGTAGATCTATGGAATGGATTAAATGATGAGCTAAAATAAAGCACAAATATAAACCAGCTTAAAAAAAACTGTATAAAAATGAGCTTATTGAAAAATAGGTTGTATAGGATGGGTGTCTCAAAGGCCAAAAATGCTATTGTTGATATTAATAATGTGTAAATTATCTAAAATGTGTGTACAGCGTCATTTAATATAAGGTGCATTTGGTGTGAGGAGACTAAAATGAGTGTGATGTGTATGACAGAGACAGGAAATCATAAGATCTTTATCTTCTACCTGCTCCGTCTCGAACAAATTGCACGTCAGTTGGCATGACGATACGTTTTTATTATTATTAATTTTGTCTTTCTTTGTTTTTACTTTTTATTGTCTGTTCGAAATGAATAAATAAATTTATCTTGCACACCAAGTGCACAGAAAGAGTGCAGGGGCCAGCTTTCACAGCTGATTGTTCAATAAAGGAAGTTGAGCCTCTGGTGCCAGCTCACATCCTCTTTCATAATACCCTGCAGCGCAGCTTCAGAGAAACACCGAGCCAGTCATCCCATCCACATTTCAACCCCTCACGGCCCCCACTAGGTTAAATATATAGTTTTAAAAATATTAACATTTTAAGGTGTGTTTTGGGCATCGTCCATCCCACCTCTTGTCGTTTGATTTCCTTGGCGGTGAGGTCGTGACTCTCCACCGTGTCACTCCAACACTGGCTGTTGCGTCTACGTGGAAACGATGAGGCCTTGGTGCGGTTGCGCAGAGGAGCAGGGGGCAAAGGTCGAGCATCTGTGCGAAAGCTTATAGACCGCTGTGAAAAAGACAGGAGGGGTCGATCATCTGCAAAATAAGTGGCATTAGGTTTTGTGTCACTAAGCACAGCGCTTTAAGGTGTAGTACCGAAATAGACTGGCCTATGCGTTTCAGGGCGGGGGTCTTCACTGGGGTTATGACCCCCGTCAGGCTGTTGGACTTCAATACAGGCTTAACACGTTTGTTACTTGGCTCCTAAAAAAAAAAGAACAGTGAAATTTAATAATCAAGATTGTTCACAAGCTGATCAGGGCCGTCAAGTTACCAAACACCTGACCTCCGAATCCTTCATGTGCCCCGGCATCATTTCACCCTCCTCTTCTTCCTCTTCATCCTGAGGGTCAGACACAACTGTAAGCCAACTTGAAATGGAAAAGTTTTGGGGGAAAAAAATTGCAAAGACAGCGAGAGAGTTTGAGAGGGGGGTGAGAGATGTTGCATGGTGCAGATCTCTCATTTCCTGTGTGAGTCTTTCAAAGAGGAAGAAGGTTGAAACTGTGCCTCGGTATAGCTAAATACAAGATGTCGGCCTGGTTTTACCTCCACTAACCACATCTGTTAATTTAATGTGACAAGATGGCAAAAAAAAAAAATATGTAAAAATGTGGAAATTAGAATCAAAACATCCCATCAGCAAGAATATATTCAAGCATAATGTTCATTTCTCATTAGTTCTGCTCTCAGCATTGTGGTCACAAAGGTAAGGTTGACCAACTTCCGCTAGTTGCTGAGGAAAAACAGCAGAAATGACTCTGGTGCATTTCAGATTACTCACCTCTATGATTCTTATCACAGGTTCAGGAGCCGGGTCTTGTTTTCTCTTCTTCTAAAATAAAGAATTTATAAAAAAGTTAGTTTCCTGGATTATTTAAATGCATAATAATCCAAATAGCTTACCCCGGCATGATCACAGAGGACAGTGTGCGTCTCTCCTGACCTAAAAAGGACAAATCATTTTCAAGTACAAATCATTCACAATAGTACATTAAATGACAGCATTGTGGATAAAACAGCTTTGTTGCATCAGGATGTATTAAATGTTTTTCACCCCAAGTCAGACATTTGCAAAGCATCCATCTCTTTTCTGACTGTCCCCATTTTCATCAGTAGGACCATAAAAACAAGAAAGCAGCATAATGCACGAGCCATCATACCAGGAACTCCTCGTTTCACCAGTCTCCTCCACTTCCATCTTTTCCCTCTTCAATGCATCTTCACAGAATCATAAACGTAGATTCTCAAAAGGAGAAATAATCCAAATTCGAGACACGCGTTAAACGATATCAGCTCAGGCAGCGAGCCGTTTGCATTGAGCCCTTTTAAAAGTTCAGTGCTCTTCTTCCTCCTCGCGCTCTTCCTCATCTTGCAGCAGACCACATCCTTTACGGTTGCACATAATCGCGTATCCGTTCTTATAGAGCGTTTTAAACTTGAGGTGAAACGTCTCACCAAAACCCGTCATTTGGATTTTCTAAGCTTTAAGAAAACCTGATGGGATAAAAAAAAAAAAACCCTGACATTGAACAGCAGACACATGAGGAAGTGATTAAATGTGCTCCTGTATCGCAAGTGCATTTGCTACAGGTACAGTTAAAACGTTATACCTATTGATTTAAGTATATAAAACTAGAATGCAGTAAGGGATTTTCCACCGAATTAGTAGGTTGGTGTTTAGATAAGAGGCAGAGCGTTCCAGATGTGCTCTGTAGTGAAATATGATCGGTTCAAAACAGGAAAAACACGAGTCTGAGACACCGTCAAACCTTTTCATGTTACACGAATACACTGATAAAAACACTGCGCAATAATCAAATAACCACTCACAGCCAGTGCATCTTTTACATGTTTATTCACTATCACACTAAGTGCTCCCATTTCAAGATACATCCCTGTTGCCTTGCTCTTAAGCCGTTATGTCGTTTGAAGTTAAAGTAGAAAGACGATGTATGATCTAGCAGATGTGTCAAACTTGTTCAACCCCCCCGCCCCCCCAGAAATAAAATAGAATATAACAAAAACTAAATAAAAAGAGAAGAACAAAAACATGTCATGTGCAAGAAGCCCTCAGAAGCCACAGAACACTTAAAGTGAGGGGGTAGGGGTGTCTAAAAGTGGAAAGGGCATTTTCAAACTGTGATACATTTGTGTTTATATTCAGAGAAGAAGGTTGACAAGTTATCAGTTTTCTGAGTCAGACTGGTTTAATGAATGTGGTACATCTTCAAAAGAAACAAAGGGAAAACAAAAACTGAAGTCATGTGGAACCAGGTCAAGACGAGGAGTGATGAGCCCATACAGGTGCCAAGCTGGATTTAAGAAACCCACTGTTTACTGCTAAAGAGGATGTTAACTTTACACAGGGACTTTATTTGGGCTCTGGTTTACCCAAAAAAAACACAGGCTTGTTTAGGTTTAGATATTCTACAAATGCGAAACATCAGAATGTCCAGAACACATGCTCCTTTCCTCCAACGACACCCATGTTCCTACAACAAAGCACCACCTGGATCCCTCTGCGCACACACAGGTATCCTGTAGTCAGCTTACTGGGGCTATGTACATCAGGCACAGGTTTACACAAAACCACAGGCCTAAAAAAAAAAAAAAAAAACATAAAAAGAAGAAACTGATTGATCCAGTAGAGCCCAGCGACCCACTTAAAACACCCCCTTCCCTTGCCTCCCACCCTGCTGTGGGTGGGCTGAGTACAGAGCTCAGCGTATGGTGTATCTGACATAGGGCACTTCCACGTCTTCATCTGACAAGTCGTTACAGCAAAGCTCGAACACCAGGGCTCTAACATGTTTGCCCAACTTCTTTTTCGACACCTTAGTCACAATTTCGGTCATCCTGTGGAACAAAGAGGGAAACCACTGAGACAAAGAACATTAAATACCCGTTATGAAGGAAATGTAGTTGATATATATACTCACGGTAGGTCCAGTCTCTCTTTGAGTTTGGCAGCAGGCATGAAAAATGAATAGAGCATGGACACTCCCTGAGAAAGCATGGTGATCTCCAACTTGTGCTCATTCTGGAGAAAAACAAACGGTGGTGAACAAAAGAATGGGAAAAAAAAAACTAAAACTGTTGGTGCAACATAAGATTAGTTCAACGTACTTTGAAGTAGTCCAGGAACTGTCGGAGTGTCATTTCTTCCCCATTGGACTGCAGCCCTGTGACCTCAAAGCGATCCCAAAGCGTCCAATCAATTTCATAGTACTGCAAATAAATAATGTTAGTTCTTAGTAAAAACTGTAAGACAAATCAATTATACCATAGCTACTGCCTTTTTCTAAAATGCATCAAGATGCCTAAAATGTCTGTAACAAAACAGTACAGGAGTCCCTTAATAATTTGCGGCTCGTTTTTTGCGGACTCGCTCTATCGTGGGTTTAAGTACTGTAGATGTACATAATATTTTCAAAAAATAAAAATATGCTGCCATTTTGTAGTTTTCCTTCATTAAACCTTGTCATTACGATATCTGTTATGGAAGCACGATCCGTAGTGTTGCTCATTTGCGCATGCGCTAAAAGGAATGCTTCCGGGTCACACGGATCACCATTAAATATAGTAGATTAAGGAAAATGTACTAGTATAATTCCATTTATGAATAAGAACCGTCTTAATTTACTTAGAAAAGTATGTGCTTTATCTCTGTTTATTTTCATGTCGATGTTGCTAATTTACTCCACTCCTATTTCTGTTCAAATCATTGACATATTGACGTCATGGTTTAAATGATATGTTTGGGACCTGCAGTTTGGGAGTCAGGAATAATGCATCGCATATCATCTTAACCAATGATTTGTAACGGAAATACAAGTGGCATAAATTAGCTACATGAAGGTTGGTGGAGATAGAGCACATACTTTAATTAAATTAAGACAGTTTTTATTCATAAACAACGGCATCCATGCGATCCGGAAGTACACTACGGATCATGCATCCGTAACAGATAGGGGAATGACAAGCCTTCACTGTTTTGCCAGTCTAAAGAACTACACTACCCAGAAGCCATCAGTTCACTTCCCAGAAGTCAACACAGCTCTTTCAACCACTGCTTGTTGCAAACGGAGGGAACAGTTTTGCAATGCAAAGTCAGAAGTTCTGTAAGGATAAGCTCACGACTGGCAGGAAAGTCACAAATAATTCTGAAGATGACCTCATCCTTCAAGTTGCATCTTAACTACAGAGTAGCTGGGCTGCAGCTGATCTGGACTCAGTGTGACCCGGATCCTGGGAGCTGCAGACGACAGACGGCTGCAGGGTTCAGTCAGGTTCAGGTTGCATGGTGCTGGTCCGGACTGGGCCAGAGGTGGTAGATTAAATCCTGGGCAGCAGCATGCACTCATCAAGCTGGATGGAGCGGTGGGCTTCAGTCATGCTGTACCGAGACTTTTTCATCCGGTCGGACTGGAACCGAGCCGCTTCTGTTCTGCAGAACCTGGTAAGTAAAATGTGGTAGCTCCTGTACATACAAGTACTGAATGTTGTTAAAATTAGTAGGTTTAAGAGTTTAGAGGACTGATTTGTGGGCTTCATTGCTGCAGGATAGGTCTGCAGAAACAAACTAGTTGGAATAAAACAGAGTTAGACCAGAACCAGAGCTGTTGCAGAGCTAGTAAGCAAAATTTAGTAACATGTCATTAAAAAGTCATAGGTTTAAGCGTTTACAACATTCCAAGAATGTGGGGTTTCTAAAGCCTTAATATAAAATTTTATGTATTTGAACTTAAACTACTGTATCCCTACTTCGCAGTTTTTCCACTTATCGCGGGGCTTCAGGGTACGGATCCACCACAAGAAAAGAGGGACTACTGTACTTGTCATATTTCTCCTCAGCACACACTGACACAATCAGTGTGAGAAGGTGAGTTGAACTCACATGCACCCAGGCAGACTCAGTACATCTGCCTAATGCATCAGTATTAGCATGGCTGTATCATCACTGGAGATTGCCAACATGTTGGAATATAATCATTTTCCTACAACAACAGTGTATTATTATACATTACACCTCAAAATAGGACAGATGCACTCACCTTGTGTTTAGGAGCAGCAATGGGCTCAGAGAAAGCAAAGAAAGGCAGAGCCAAGTTCATGAAGCCATTTTTGTACGACTCCAGCTTCTTGTGTCCTTGGACGATCTTGATGAGCTCCAAGCACACCAGACCAACCACTGCAGCCGTAGTAGTGGCAATAGCAGGAATGATCTTGCCAGCAATCAGTTTGCTCTTGATTGTAGAGACAAATGCAAGAATAAACAGAAAAAGTCATTTGCATATATTTAAATGTTACACAAACTGAAGTCTGATGTTTTGTCCTGAATTCATTCAACCTTTATTTAGACAGGTAAATCCCATTGAGCCTCGAGGACTCATTTACAAGAGAGACCTGATTTCAACAAAGAACGATAACAATAAACAGTTATAAAAGTCATACTACAGTTTTTTTTTTTTTAAACAAATAGGATGTCTAAAAGAAAAAGGTAACAAAAAACAGCTAGATTCTTAGGCGAATGTAGAAAACTTGTAGAATTACTGTTGTGATCTGAATCACTCTGAAGTTGTGAAATTAGCACGACTGCCTTTATACACAAGCAGATGTACTCAAAGAACACAATTATCACAAACAAGTTCTACATAAGAGGGATGAGAAGTTTGTTTAAAAAGAGAACATGCATACCCTAAAACTAATGCGGCCTTACCTTGTGTCTGTCAGCAGGGGGAATGTCGTAGTTCTCAGCTCTCAGATTGGAGGAAGCCACGATGAAGTCCATGTGGAAGTTTGTATCGTCATCCTGTTGAAACACGGACAACGATCACATAAAGCAGGATAAAGTCACAGAAGGAGTGGACGTTAGTTTGAAATGAGATTTGTTTAAGGTAATTGATTCAAATGGGTTTCTGTCAACAGTCTATCAAATGCAATGTTGGAGCAGTGCATTTATTAGTTCTAACATGAGTTGCCTTAAAAAAAAAAATCAATTATTGTATATTTTTCTATTAAGAATATCTGGGCTTAATATTGAGATATATTCACATGGGGAAAATATGTATTTGATACATTGCCAATTTTGCAAGATTTTTCCCACCTACATAAAAAGGTCTAATTTTTATCCTAGGTGTATCCTATCCTACTTCAACTGTGAACGACAGACGCTTAAGAAAAAAATCATCAGAAAATCACATTGGATGATTTTTAAATAATTTGCATTTTATTGCATGAAATAAGTATTTGATACAATAGAAAAACAGAAATGAATATTTGGTACAGTAACATTTGCTTGGAGTTAGAGGTCAGATGTTTCCTGTAGTTTCTGACCAGGTGTGAACACAGTGCAGCAGGGATTTGGCCCACTCCCCCAAACAGATCTTCTCCAGATCCGTCAGGATTCAGGGCTGTTGCTGGGCAACATTGAGTTTCAGCCCCCTACAAAGACTTCCTATTGGGTTCAGGTGTGGAGACTGGCTAGGCCCCTCCAGGACCTTGAAATGTTTCTTACGGAGCCACTCCTTAGTTGCCCTGGCTGTGTGTTTCAGGTCACTGTCATGCTGGAAGACCCAGCCACCACCCGTCTTCAATGCCCTTACTGAGGGAAGGAGGTGCTTGGTTAAAATCTTGCGATACATGACCCCATCCATCCTCCCTTCAATATGGTGCAGTCGTGCTGTCCCCTTTGCAGAACAGCACCACCAAATTATGAGGTTTCCACCCCCATGCTTCACTATTGGGATGGTGTTCTTGGGGTTGTACTCAATCCTTCTTCCTCCAAACACGACAAGTGGAGTTGATACCAAAAAGCTCTATTTTGGTTTCATCTGATCACATGACCTTCCCATGCCTCCTATGGATCATCCAGATGGTCATTGGCGAACTTCAAACAGGCCTGGACATGTGCTGGCGTGAGCAGGGGGACCTTGCGCGCCCTGCAAAATCTTAAACCATGAGGGTGTAGTGTGTTACTAATTGTCCTCTTTGAGACTCGTCTCGGAAAAACAAGAGTCATCTTGAGTTTCTTTCATTTTCTAATATCTGTGCCAACAGTTGTTGCCTTCTCACCAAGCTGCTTGCATATTGTCCAGTAGTCCATGCCAGCCTTGTGCAGGTCTACAAGTTTGTCCCTGGTTTCCTTAGACAGCTATTTGGTCTTGACCATGGTGGAGAGGTTGGAGTGGGTGGACAGGTGTCTTTTATACAGATAATGAGTTCAAAGGTGCAATAAATACAGCTAATGAGTGCAGAATAGGAGGGCTTCTAAAAACTAACAGGTCTGTGAGAGCCATAATTCTTGCTGGTTGTTAGGTGGTCAAATACTTATTTCATGCAATAGAATGCAAAGTAATAATTTAAAAACCATACAATGTGATTTTCTGGATTTTTTTCGTAGATTCTGTCTCTCTCAGTTGAAGTGTACCTACGTTAATAAACATTACAGACCTCTACATTCTTTGTAGATGAGAAAACATGTAAAATTGGCAGTGTATCAAATACCCCCACCCCACCACTGTATAAACTCACACACAAAGCACCGTTTAATCCTCATTCATAATTTGACCAACATATGAGGGGCAGAAGCAAGTAACAATGCGCAGGGACTAAAACACACACACACTGCAGGTCAGTAGAAGCTCATACATAGTTCATGGAGCGTACTCCATGAACTACCAGTACGAACTCACAACTGCTTCCAGAGGAAAACGCACAAAAAAATAGAGTACCTTTTCAAAATCAATGGGACTGAGTGTGTACTTGAACGTTTCTACTGATGGTAAATGGGACTTCAGTTCTTCCAGTTTGGTGTCATCTGTCAATTAAGAGATTCAGGTAAGAATCAACTCCTGAAAAACAGTGACTTTAAATGCCTAACTGCTCCTAGAAGTAGATTTGCATGTCTTACCAACAGAAGAATTGCTATTTTGTAGTTCCTGATCAGAGACATGGATTTTTACTCCTGAGCGAGGGGTAAAAATTGGCACCTTGACCTCCTGCAAAATCTTGACCACACCAGCACGATCGGTGCTGCCCTGCAGGCCGTATGTCTGAGCAAACAGGTTGGCACCTGCCATTACGTAATCCATGTGAAGGTCCTAAGGATCAAAATCAATAATGCATTCAGGTTTCAATGTATCAATTATGAACAGATTGCTGCCAAGTATAGGTACTGAAACAGAGAATACACTTACATTGCTAGTGCTGAATTCTAAAGGGTGAGGACACCTCTTTGGGCCGGACCAGAAGGGGGCGCCCGAGCTGGTGAGCTGAAGAGAGGGAAAAAAGTCAACTGCAGTTTGGCAACATCAAGGATTGAGAATCTGATGCATTTTTACTGTTCTCCAAATTTATAGATTTAAGAGGATTAAACGCTGTCAAATTGGTAAAAGGAAGAAAAAATTTTTATATTAAAGTGCTGTGGCATGTTGGGATCATTCAACACATTCATTTTCAAGGACAAGAAATAATGTTTTAAAGTGCTGCAGAGTGGGTCAGAAAATTCCAGTATAGTTGGATGAATGATGAAAAGGGCTCAGCAAACTTCTGAAAAAACAACTTTTTTCTGAAAGATTAAATTAATTTACCTGAAGTCCTACTGTAGACTGCACAAGTGTGAATGTTAGGTGGAAAAGCACATTTACATCATATGTGCACCTTATAATAAGACAATAAGAGCTCTTGTAATTGAATTCATTTTATATAACTTTGAACTACAGTTTCTGCATAAACAACAAAGTATTAAATAAAATACAGTAACGAAGCGACAGAACAGTATAAACATCGATGCGAGCACTGGTGTTAATGTGCATTTGTAGATTTTTTATTAAGTACAAGTTACACATTCAGTGTGTAACAACAAATGAATGTAAACTGTGACCTCTTTAAACATGTTCAAAATGTAAGTGGTTTGAGTTATAAGATTTGTTAAATTATTTTATTTTCCTTCTCCTCTATAATCTGCATTTCTGCAGTTTGAGATCGACTTGCCAAAAAGCAAACGAGAAAAAGCTAAAGACTTCAATCAAGCAACTCTTTAATATTTTGAGGTAATCTCAGAGCTTACCTGATTTGGGGGGAAGTTGTGCAATAGTTGACGGATGTTGTTGCTGTATTGGCACTGCCAGTGGTTGCGAGCCCAGGCTACACAGTCAGCCCAGCTGTGCGGACAGTCTGTCACCATCGTCTTGTATACAGCGTCCAGCACCTCTACAGGCTGAGCTCCTGGAAGCTTCAGAGTACGCTCCATGAACTTTGAATCTCTGTAGGATCACCATTATAAAATATCAACTGTACGCACTGTATTCATAATTTATTAGAATCCAAAAACAGTTTGACAGCAGCAAAGTTTGGCCAAAAAAAAAACAAACAAAAAAAAACCCCAACATGTTTGGAGGGATTGCTAGCCTACTAAGCAGTGAAACAAAAAAATGGAGGAAACTTACGTAAGGTACTGCATAGCATTTTCTGGAGACTGTTTGAAGAGTCCCTCAAACTCATCTCGGGCCCACTGAACAGAGAAAGAATGTTTGATCAGCATTAAACTCAATTTAGAGAATTACAAAATAAAAAAAAACAAGTGTTTTTGAGTGACTACATAATCTGACAAGTCTCAGACAAAACGTCATTACCTGAATTGGAAATATAAATAAACAGACAGACGTGTGGTGCAGATCAAATCAAGAATATCAAGGTGGAGTTCATCAAAGAATGTTCCATTTGATAACCTTCTGGACATAACAAATTCTTACATTGAAGAAGGCTGACATTTCTCCAACTGTATACATTCATCAAAATGTTATGCCATTATTACCATTATGAATTTGGTGTCCATCGTCACTGTTATGCTGATGACACACAGCTTTACTTGACAACAAAACCAAACTCCATCCACCCATCCACCCACCCTCCATCCTCACAGACTGTCTCAGTGAGCTAAATCATTGGTTTTCAAAACAATTT